TGATTTCACATGTGATTATGTATCATGCTACATAGTTAAGATCTGTGACTTTTAAAAATAATGCCTCAGGGGGCTGGGAAGTTGGCTCAGTGGTAGAGCGCTTGCCTTGTATGCCTGAGGCCCTGGGTTCGATTCCTCAGCACCACATAAGCAAAAAGAAAAAAGCCGGAAGTGGCCCTGTGGCTCAAGTGGTAGAGCACTAGCCTTGAGCTGAAGAGCTGAGGGACAGCGCCCAGGCCCAGGATTCAGGCACCATGACTGGCAAAAATAAAATAAAATAAAAAAATACTAAGCCAGGTATGCAAAGTCTTTTTGTTAATGGTTAAAAAAAAGTTATAAAACACTGATGATTACCATAGGACAGAGGAGATGCTGTGGATTCTCTGGTTGAGTGTATATGTATCTGAAAAAGAAATGGAGGCAGCATTTAATAAGTGCCAACCTTGCCAGGTATTCACACTGTATTGGTATGAGTTTGGACAGATGTAATTGGCCCCATTTTCCAGACCAAGTAACAGAGAGGACAGTGCATCTTGCCCAAAGTGATGAACTTTGGACTCAGGTCTACTAGGATCTATAATAGCTCCTTTACTTTTCACTAGTCTGGTTGTAGGCCAGACTAAAGAACTGACAGTAACAGCTGGAATTGACTCACAGTACAGCTGGAAAGGAATGGGCAGTAGGGAGAAGGGGCAGAGCTTTGGGGATCAGAAGGAGGCATACTAGCTAATTCCATTTTTCTTCTTGTTCAGCCTATATTTTAGTAGTAGTGGTTCACTTCCTAGCTTAGTAAACCCCTTGTACATCCAGTCTTGCTTGGTAATTGCTTCTTATTAGACTTGAACCCAGAGCATCAACCCAGCACCATTCTCCTATGATAAACAGCTCTAGCACTTGGGTGCTTGGTAGTCATCAGCTTGCTTTTGAGCATAGCCAACTACTTTTATCCCAGGTAGTCCTGGACTACCTAAAGGCACTTTGACAAGTCTGAGATACCTAATATGTAAGTGAGGCTAGATCTTAACAGGCTCTGGGGACGCCAGCAGCGTCTGGCCACAGGCTGGTGAGATGATGAGATCTGGTAAGACTAAGGTTATAAGGACACAAGGAAAAATGTATTATCCCTTAACAATTAGTACATCAGCAATAGGACAGGCCCTGTGTTTAATTTCTACAGCAAGGATGTTACATTCATTTTGTATTTGTAAATTAGGTAAGATAATAATACGTATTTACTGCTTGCTCTATGGTAGTCACTATACTAAGCTCTTGTCTTAGTAACACCAAGCCAGACACTTAGCCAGTACCCATTGTTGTTAACAAAATCTTGCTATGGTTGAGGCGACAATGTGTTCAGCTGCAGGTAGTGTTCATGGTTCACAGTCACAACACACCTGTTCTCTTATATTCCCCACCACTGCATGAAAGGGTATGGGACTGGATAATGGAACACACTTCTAGAAAACTAGGAGGAATCCCTCACTTCCTTCAGCTCTTCACCCCAGTGTCACCTTCCCTGACCACCCCTAACACATAGCAGGTACAAAATATATTTCTGTGAGAGGACATACAATGGGAAAGCCCTACAGAATGCGCAGCCCAGCAAGCACCAGTGCCCTTGAGTGGGAGGCTGGCTGGCATGTTTGGTGAATAGGAAGCCAGCATGAATGGGCCAGCATGACAGGGAGAATGGATAACAAGACCAGGTGACAAGAGGGAGCCTGGGTACATGAGGATCTTCAGGGCACAGCAAAGCCTTAGGCTCAGACTGAGTGATCCTGGAAGGACTCTATGCAGAAGAATAGCAGCCTCTGATTCTGTTTAAAACAACTAGGTGGGAGCCAGGCATCAAGTGGCTCACATCCTAGCTACTCAGGAGGCGAAGGTCTGAGGATTGTGGTTCAAAAGAGCCTGGACTGGAAAGTCTGTGAGACTTTTACCTCTCCAATCACCAAAAACCTGGACGTGGAACTGTGGATCAATTGATAGTGTGCTATCCTTGAGCACAAAAGCTCAGGGACAGTTCCTAGGCCCTGAGTTCAGGCCCCAGCGTTGGTACCAAATAACCAAGAAACCCAAACAAACTACTAGATGGATGATGTTGAGAGACATTGAAGAGAGAAACATAAAAGCAGAGAGAACAGGAGGTGACTGCAGAACTCCAAGCTATTGATGGTGGTGCCTTGGTCCACAGCCTAGACTGGCAATGAGGGAGGAGAAAGGTGATCAGGTTCTGAATGCCTTAGATGGTATAGCCAAAAGGATTTTCTGACAAATGATATGGATTGTGAGATAAAGAATGAGTGAAGAATGGATTTAAGATCTTTGCCTCCAGCGGATGGGAGCAGGATGGCTGGTAGGAGTGTGAAGGAATACATGTTGGGGACCAAGGCAGATACTCCATGTTGGACATGTGGGAAATGCCTGTTAAACATTCAAGTGAAAAGTCTGGTCAAATGGACACACACACACACACACATCTATATTTTGAAATTATGGGAGAAGTCCAGGTTCGAGATATAGGTAGAACTTAAAGCCATAAGGTATTAGTGTAGAAAAAAGTAACAAAGAAAAAGATTCAATTACAGGGATAACGACAATAATATATCTGGGTATCAGATCTTACATGTAGGTGTTCATTTATCCCTTATATAAATACTGCATGGTCAGGTATAGTGATGTCTGCCTATAATCCCAGCATACCACAGGCAGAAGTATGGGGATCAAGAGTTCAAGGCCAGCCCAGACAACATTAGCAATACCATGTCTCAAAACAAAAACAAAACCAACAACACAAGTGCTTCCATCCTGCTTCGATGCAGAAGAATCTGAAGTTGTTCTCTGGCCTAGTGTACACAGGTGTCTGACTGCAAGCATTTCTTTCTTCCACAAACCTAATTTGCCTTCATCCCTTTTGTCTTCCCTTTTCATTTCTTTTTTTTCCACATAAAGTTTAATGTACACAACATTCTACTCTTTTCATCTTGAACTATTATTGCGGCCTCCTGATAAGATTTCTTTCCAGGGGACTCTTTGAATTAAAATCCATTTCTTTTTTGCTGGTCCTGGAGCTTGAACTCTGGGCCTGGGCACTATCTCTGAGCTTCTTTGGCTCACAGCTAGGGCTCTATTACTTGGCCACAGCCCCATTTTCAGCCTTTTCTGAGTAGTTGCTTGGCGATAAGAGTCTTATGGCCTTTCCTGCTGGAGCTGGTTTTGAACTGTGATCCTGAGATCTCAGCCTCCTGAGTAGCCAGGATTACAGGCATGAGCCACCCAGCTTGTAATCCATTTTTTAAAATCTTCCTACAAATAAAGCTGATTGGGTCACTTTCCTGCTTAGCTTTTCTAGGAATTCTCCATCCACTATAATTCAGCTTCTTTAGTGGGGTTTATGGAAGCTTTCACAATGTATCTCTGTTCTGCAACTCAAGTTTCCTATGTTGTTGCTTCATTTTTGTGCCTAAGTTGCTGCACCTCCCATACTAATATATATATATATATACATATGCATATACACTATATATACTATATATACTATAAATATATATTTTTAATTAATTCTTTCCTAGTATTGAGTTTGAACTCAAGGACTTAGAATTGCTGGGCTTGCTTGCTCATTTGGTGCTTTACCACTGGGGAACACATCCAGCCCCCCTTTTTGTTTGTTATTTTGGAAATGGAGTTTCATGGACTTTATCTACTTGGGCTGACCCTGAACCTTGATCCTCTGGATCTCAGCTTCCTGAGCAGCTAGGATTACAGGTGTGAGCCACTGACACCCATTTGACTGACTTCAAGCAATATTGATTAGAAGATGTGATGGTGGGTACCAGATTCTCTGGCGCATCTCAGAGGAAAGTTTTCTAAATATATATTTTTATTGTAAAGATACTGTACAGAGGGGTTACAGTTACATAAGTAAGGTAATAAGTACATTTTATATTGAACATTGTTACCCCCTCCTTTGTTTTCCCCCTACCATCTCTTCCCTCCTTCCCTTCCCAACTCCTTCCTTCCCCCACCCCAAAGTTGTAAAGTTTGTTTTCAGCAAAGTGTCTTGTACATCTCAGTGTTACAATGGGTCAACCTGCATCCTTGTTTCAGCATTTTCTTGTTTATAAGTCGTCAGATAAAACAATTTCTCTTCTTTATGTAGTTGCTATGAATTTACTATTATATTAATGAATTTACTATTATACTAATGAATTACTATTATATTAATATAATATCAAACATTTTCTGCATCTATCTGGAATCATAATTTCTCTTTTTAGCCAATCACTGGTTTATTTTTTATTTTAATTGTGACTGTTTTTAAATTTTTATTGCTTTTATAAAGGTGATAAACAACTGGTTCATTTTTATTGTTAAATTAACCTTATAGTTGTTAGTCTTTATGTTTTATTCTTTTACAAAATGTTTCTATCTGGCTGGTCACCTGTGATTAAAACAATAATCCTAGCAATTCCAGGAGGCTGAGATCTGAGGGTCACAGATCAAAACCCAGCCCTGGCAGACAACTCTGCTAGATTCTAATATCCAATTAACTACCAAGAAGCCAGAGTGGAACTGTGGCAAAAATGCTCAGTGACCTTGCGTAGGTCCAGAGTTCAAGCCCCAGGACTAACACCAAAGGGAAAAAATAAAAGGCATCTATCTGGATTTGGCTCATTAATACTGTGTTTAGAACAAGGCTCTACAATTTTTGCAGCAGCTCTGGGAAGCACATTTTTTGATAGTTGGCTAAAAGCAACATGATGGTCAGAGTTAAGTTAGATTTACACTTTGGTCTGGGATTAGGGTTTCTGCATGAATGACAAGGACCAGGGTGGAAGAGATGTCAAAATTTCTGTAGTACTGTAGGAAAATGAAATCTTTTTATTAAAACTTTCATATTTGACACAAAATCCAGTACATATTCAGTATAAAACTGAAATATTAGTAGTGAAATAAACAACTACACTTACAAATAAACCTATATATGTTGTTTAATAGTTCACCTTACATGAAAAATAACGAATGAAAAGAGAGAAGATCTATGTAGTATCCCAAATGCCCCATTCAGAAACTTTGTTACACATCCATGTATGACACCTTTTCTGTGACTTTGATTAGGCCGAGATTGATGAGGACTGCCTTTTCCAATTCCAAATAACTCTCATAATCCAATTTCAATTCAGCTTCCATTTGTTCTTTTGACTTCTGATATATTTTCTATGAATAAATAAAGCAAGACATCCTTATAAATCACTGAAATCACTGATAACTGAGATGTGTGTGTGTGTGTGTGTGTGTGTGTGTGTGTGTATGTAGAGAGAAGAGGGGGGCAGAGAGACAGACAGAGAGAGAGAGGGAGAGGTTTGTGAGAGGCCAAGAATGTTAGGAGAGTAGTCTGTTGTACCTGGGAATGGCTATCTCTGATACATCTCACCAAGAGAAAGGAAAGAAAAAAGGGAAGGAGGGACAGAGGGATGGAAGATCCATTCTCTTTCAGTCTTCTTCCCCATAGCTTTGCCTTCCTTCTGTGGCCTGAAGGGTAAGTAACTGACTTGAGGCTGTAGAACTGTTTTGAAGCCCCTCTTTCCTTAGTCCATATAGAAGGGGAACTTGTGGGTTCATAAAGCAATGACTAGTTTCCCTAGCTTTAGTTTTCAGCTGTAATTCTAATTAGAAGGCTTTCTATCTTCTGTGCTGTTTAAGCTGTAATTACTGTTATCCTCTTATTGAGAGATTGTCTGCATCTGGATTGGTTCCATATCTTGGCTATGATAAACAATTCTGCAGTGAACATGGTTGTGCTGGTGGCTTTAGTGTGGCCTTGTTTGTAGTCATTTGGGTAAAGGCCAATGGGATTGCTGGGTCCTAGGGAAGCTCTATGTTTAGTCTTTTGAGGAACCTCCATACTACTTTCCAGAGTGGCTGAACAAGTTTGCACTCCCACTAACAGTATAGTATCATTCTCTTTTGACCACATCCTTGCCATCATCTGTTGTTATTAGATTTCTTGATAATGGTCATTCTGACTGGTGTAAGGTAAAAACTATCAACATGAACTCCAAGACAGGAAACAAGAGGTTCTTATTATGTCCTGTATGTAGTTTGTTCTTTCTTTTTTTTTTCTCTTTTAGTTCTCTGTACTCTTTGTCTTGTATATATGTTTATCTGATCCCTAGAAGGGAAAGGAAACCACAGAAATAACAGGATAAAGGATAAACTAATGCAACAGTTAATACTCATATGCCTCTATGTTGGAAATGAACTTTACAACTTGGGAGGAGGGGAGTAGGGAGGGGTAAACCAGAGAAAATGAGGGATGGGGTAACAGTGTTTAAAAAGAAATGTACTCTTTACCTTACTCATGTAACTATAATCTCCCTGTTCATCACATTTTCAATAAAGATTAGAGAGAGAGAGAGAGAGAAATAGAGATGATCTGCATCCAGATGTGATGTTTGTGAGGGGCTGGGTTATAATTTCCCTGGGGTCTGTAGATGAATGCCTCAACCCCAGCACCTGGAGGGCACTCATAAAGACCAATCTTGATGGAGGGCTGCATAATCCTCCCAGCCTCTGCAGTCACTCTAACAATGAAACCTTGATAGCACTTTCTATGTGCCAGTTACTGGCAAAGTGCTGTAAATATTTCAACTCACTTAATCCCTACCACAATCCTCTGAGGTTCTAAAAGTGATTGTTCTCCTTTCCCCCTTTATATGGAGACATTTTTTATTAATGTTAATTGTTTTTCCTCAGTGACCTTTCTCATGTTCCAAATGCAACAGAGGAGCCCTTTTCAATCCAGTTGTTTATCCATGGTTTGGTTCCAGGGGAAATTATGTAAGTAGCAGCTGTACTTAAAAGAAGGTATTCTGTTCAATGGAAATGACATGAGGACAAGGAGGCAGAAACGTTTTGGAAAGTAAAAAGCATGACATAGTTTTAAGATAGGACTACTATAATTCTCAGTCATCTGAAAAAAGTATTTCAAATACAAATTATATGTTGGGTTATTCACAATTCAACATGCACCCACTGACATAGATAGCTAGGAGCTGTTGCTATGTATGGAATTTAACATCAGTAACAATTGTGGATAAATTCAGGAGTTTCAGCCATAGTTTGTAAGTGTGGCAAACAAAGCCTCCTAACCCCCAAACCCAAAAATCAAGACAAATTGTTTGTAGCAGTGTGACACAATGAAAAGTTAATTGAACAATGCTTTTGAAAAGAATCTTCTTGCTTTTACTGCAAGAAATTAGTATTTCTCAACAAGTTATAATGTTAATCTATTTGTGAACATCACATATTACAATATTTCCATACATTGATGCTTTTAATGGAGACCTAGTATCATTGGGGGTGTGTTTGTAGCCCAGAAGGGTTCCATGATGAAACAATGAAGACAGGAGGGTGAAGGAGGGGTGAACAGATGAGAAACAGAAACTTAACTGACATGACCTTAAGTGAGAATGAGAGAACTGAACTCACAGAATATTTAAAGCCCATCTGTAGTGGGTAAGAAAACACAACACCATTTTAGGACATACATATATATCAGCAACAGGGCAGAGAGAAAGGGAAGGTTGTGGGCTTTAGAGGTTTAGAGTTAAAAGCTCATGCATCCTATCCCCAATTCTCCTCTCAACCTCCACAGTGCCAGTACGTTACCTCCTAGTAAGACTCCTCTCTCTGACCCAGTGAACATTACACTTATGGTAGCTTCCATCAGATGATAGTTGACTGTCAGGTTTTCTACCTTTGCAATTGGCATCGATGGTAGCTCCTAAAGCTCGGCCAAGATTGGAGCATTATTATGGGTCTCATAGCTTCTAGGTGGCAGAGTAGGGCTCTGACCCCCAGAGTATTAGTCTATTAGTATTGCCTGCATGAATGCATTATTCACTAGCTATAAAAATTCTATAGAATGACACATTGAACTTTTGAATTACTGTAGGCACATTAAAGAACTTTGAAATGACAGCAAATCATTGAAACTTGAGCAGGATTGAATCTCAGTGAACGGGTAGTTCTCACAGTTGGTGAGCTAGGAAATCAGATAAATACTCTCTGCACTCTCATAAAAATAGGAGAAAAGCTTGGCATCTGTGGCTCATGCCTGTAATCCTAGCTACTCAGGAGCCTGAGGTCTGACCATCGAAGTTCACAGTCAGCCAGGGGAAGGAAAGTACATGAGATTTTTTTATCTCCAGTTAACACCAGATAGCTAGAAATGGAGCAGTGGCTCAAAAGTGACAGAGCACTAGCCTTGAGCACAAAAGCTCAGGGATAGTGCTTAGGCCTTATATAAAGCCCCAGGATCAGCAATAAAACAACCAAACCAAAACAACCCAGGAGAAGAATGTGTATAGAACCCATAGAATAAGACAGACAGGCCCATTGCCATTGGGGAAGGGGATTGCAAGTTGCTTTGTTGAACTTTTAACTTACAACTTTTTTCTTCTCCATTTCTAGCTCCATTTCTCTCTTTTCTGCCTCACGAATACTTTTGCGTTGCTGCACATATTCCAGATGCTTCAGTTCTCTTTCAAAGTAGTAGTTAACACTTGATAACTGTTAGAAATAGAAGCAGGATGACCCACAGGGATGCCTTCCCATCCATGCCTCCCCGCTCCTCTCCACCATTCTCTCCCTCCCCCCTCCCCCCCCCCCCCCCCCCCATGGGCTTCACAAAGCTCTGTTCCAGTCCCTGCTGCTTGTACTTAGGCAGGTCACCATCTTCCCAACCCACGGATTGTTAACTACTGAGCCTCTTTCTAATCATGAGTAGCTTTACCTACTTGAAGTAATTTTTTTTTTCCTTTTGCTGGTCCTGGGGTTTGAACTCAGGGCCTGGACAGTCTCTGAGCTTTTGTTCTCAAGTCTAGTGCTCTACCACTTGAGCCACAGCTCCATATCCAGTTTCTGGTGGTTAATGGAAGATAAAAGTCTTATGGCCTTTCCTGCCTGGGCTGGCTTCAAACTACAATCTTCAGATCTCAGCCTTCTGAGTAGCTAAGTTTACAGGCATGAGCTACTGGCACCTGGCTTACTTGAACTGTGTGTGTGAGTGTGTGTGTGTGTGTGTGTGTGTGTGTGTGTGTGCGTTCGAGTCTCAGATCTGCCTCCTGAATAGCTAGAATTACAGGTTTTAGCCACTGGTACCCAGCTTAAACACACTTCTAAAGGTATTATCTAGATCGTATAAATCCTCAAAGCCAAAAATTACCGACCTCATTGGTAGATGGGTGACTTAATGTCCAAGGAATTTCTAATATATGCAGCGTTCCATAATAATCAGCTATGGCTATAAACTGTTGCTTAGCTGAAAGGTTTTTAAAAAATGAGGAGAAACAGAAAGTCACTTAATAAGTTCAATATGAAATGTGCTTTCTTCTGTCATTGCTGAGATTACAATGCTTTTGGAGTTAGTCCCCAGCACATAACTGGCTCATGGAAACATGTAAGTAGTCATTTTTTCCAGAGGATGAGATGATGGCTAGGATTCTGAGCCTGTAGTGTCCCTGCCATTCAAACCAGGCCCTGCTGGTGTCTGTATGGAAAGTGGCAGGGAGCTCAGCCTCTCTGTGGCTGGGCTTACAGGCTGACCTAGAGGAGAAGCCAGGAGAACACATGGAAAAATTTCCTAAGACACGCCATGAGGCACCGTTCTCCAGAGCAGTCAGAGCTATCGAATACCATGATGCACAGACGGCTGAAACCCACAGCCAGGACCACAGGGTTCTTGAAGCATTTCAAAAGGGAAAATATGCAAAGTGCTTCAGAATTGTAATTTTTTCTCTCGTCCTAGAAGATGATGGATGTTTCCCTATTCTCATTTTCAGAGGGTTCAAACTGCTGGGATCTGGGTTCATAATCCTTATAGGTACAAACAGTGTTTTGTAGCACAGATGGAAAAGAGACATTTTGATGACACATATAACTGGGTAGTCACTAGAATGTGACACTCCAGCAACTCTGAAGACAGAACTTCCACATCTAATATTCCTTTTCTTTTCCTTTTCTTTTTCTTTTTTTTCTTCTCAGTTGTGGGGCTTGAACTGAGGGCCAGGATTTGGTCTCTGAGCATTTCTGCTCAAGGCTAGTGTTCTACCACTTTGAGCCACAGCTCCATTTCCAGTTTTTGAGAGGTTAATTGAAGACAAGACTCTCATGGGGACTTTTCTGCCTGGGTTCACTTTGAACTGTGATCCTGAGATCTCAGCTTCCTAAAGTAGCTAGGATTACAAGTTTGAGCCACCAGTGCCTAGCCATATCTAATGTTTCTGAGACAGAAATGAATAGAATAACAGTTTCAGGCCTGGAAACAAAGAAAAACCTCTTTAATAAAAAGCAGCCCAGCGCCGGTGGCTCACACCTATAATCCTAGCTACACAGGAGGCTGAGATCTGAGGATCGCGGTTCAAAGCAAGCCCTGGCAGGAAAGTCCGTGAGACTCTCATCTCAATAAACCACTAGTAAACCGGAAGTGGTGCTGTGGCTCAAGCGGTAGAGCATTCGCCTTGAGCTGAAGAGCATAGGGACAGCGCCCAAGCCCAGAGTTCAAGCCCCATGACCGAAAGAAAAAGCAGAAAAGTTTGGGTTGACAATGGAGGTACAATTTGGTAAAATACAAAAATTGAGACAAAGGAAATGAATGCCTTTTCCATCACATCTGTGAATGAATGCTTGCACTGTCATGCATTGCTTTCTCTCCTCCTTAATCTAGATTAAAATTTAGAGAGCTATAGAATTCCAGAGAACCGTTTGATCTCATGGGAAGAATTGCTTGATATGCCCCTGAGGGAACTACAAAATGATAGAATATTGGAAAAAAGCTCACTTACAATGAAAAGTTACGAAAATAAAAACGATTCTCTATGGAAAAGAAACAGCGAAAATTTTGGTGTCATTCTATGTGACTTGGAGATGATAAAAAGGATGTTTCCAGTGTGTGATTCAAGATCATGCCCCTGAAATAATTGTCGACAAGTCAAAAAGGAGAGAAGCTCAGGGCATAGCCAAGATTTGAAAGCAAGGGCGAAGAGGAAAGCAGAAGAATAGAAGGGGAAGAAAGAAGGACAAGGAAGGGGAAGGGAAAGGGGAAAGGAAAAAAAGAAAAAGGAAAAGAAGGGAAAGGAAAGAAAAGGGTGGGGGCAAACACAAACCTCTCAGCAAAAACATTGCCGCCAAGATGTCAAGATGTTCACCAGTTACCCAAAATGATATAGTTCATTTGATTAGAATGAACATACCAGAATAGGTCCAGGGTTTGATGCAGGTGATCATCGTTAAGCAAATACTTTGTGTCTGGGCTGGTTCATGGGTTTTCTCAAGTAGGTCCCAGATATCGATATTTCCATCTTCTCGGCCAATATAGAAAACTCCGGGCCTTGTCAGAGACCAGTGTCCTGAGGTGTACCTTTTTGGTGCACAGCATGACTGAAGGAGGGGTCCAGTCTTTAAACAGAAATATAAAAAAGAGAAAAACTGAAAGCTTTTTGTTATTACCTGAAACTCTTGATGATTTTCTCCAAGTATAACTCAGATGGCCATGATTATTTAACAAATTTATCCCTCTAGAAAATCTTATTTCTTTCTGTTGTGGGGTATAAATCAATCAATCAATCAATCAATCAATCTCTCTATCTATCTATCTACTTATCTATCTATCTATCATGCCAGTAGTGGAATATGAAGTTAGGGCCTTTGTATTCTTGCTTGACTTCTTCTCTCAAAGTTGACACTACCACTTAAGCTACACCTACACATCTGTGTTACAGGAATTTTTTGGTTTTTTGGTTAGTCATGGGGCTTGAACTCTGGGCCTGGGCACTGTCCCTCAGCTCTTCAGCTCAAGGCTATAGTGCTCTACCACTTGAGCCACTGAGCCACTTCTGGCTTTTTCTGTTTATGTGGTGCTAAGGAATCGAACCCAGGGCCTTATGCATGTGAGGCAAGCACTCTACCACTGAGCCACCTTCCCAGCCCCTGTTACAGAGTTTTTATATAAGGAAAATTCTTTTACATACAAGAAGATTATAAGGCAATTTCACTTATACTTTTCCTTTGCTTTCGGATATTGGTTTCCCATGGAAATATCTATGGTTACCAATAAAGCTAAAGAAGTTTGTCAATTCCATCTATGAGCTATGTGTTACAAATCAACAGCAATTCTCAATACATAACTTCAAATGGGTGTATCTGATGGTTTATAAATGTATCTACCATGGGACAGTTTGTTAATTTGGGGAAGTTGGAGTTTGCTTTCTACGCAGTGTGGTTTCATCTAACTCCCTTCCCCCCCCCCCCCGGGGGGGGGACGGTGGTCAAGTGTCTGCTTATATCTGTAGCAACTTATCTAAACCATGGAGCTGGGTCTCTCCCCCTCCCACCCCCACCCCCGGCCCCTGACCCACAGCCCATCAGAAAGATGGAAACTTCCATGTGGTAGGGAAGAGTTGTAGACTCCTGAGAGGTGCCAGTCAGACTTTCTGGCTACTTCCCCTAGCTCCTACAGTTTCTACCAGGAACCAGGTTCTGGGCTACCGCATAGACTTTGGACACATTTGCCTGAGTTTATTTTTTGTTTGCCTAACTACAAAGCTTGCTCCTCACAAAAAAAGAAAGAAAGAAACAGACAAAAAAAAAAAGAACATAGAGAAGTACATTGATAGTCTATTTCTTGATGGGTATGTAGTTTTCCAATTTTACATGACAAATTTGTTCTAATATTCACATACATAATTTTTTTTTTTGCCAGTCTTGGGGCTTAAACTCAGGGTCTGGGTGCTGTCCCTGAGCATTTGTGTTCAAGGCTAATAATTCTCAGCTGCTTTGAGCCACAGTGCCATATCCAGTGTTTTGGTAGTTAATTGGAGATGGCATTGAACCACATTCCTCAGTTCTCAGCCTCCTGAGTAGCTAGGATTACAAGTGTGAGCCACTAACACCTGGCCAATTCTTTCTTGTTTAAAAAAAAATCAGAGGGACACCAGTGGCTCATGCCTGTAATCCTAGCTACCTAGGAGTCTGAGATCTGAGGATCCCAGTTCAAAGCCAGCCTGGGCAGGAAAGTCCATGAGAGTCTCATCTCCAATAAACTACTCAAAAAAGCTGGAAGAGATGCTGTGGCTCGAGTGGTAGAGTGCTAGTGTTCAGCACAGAGAGGCTCAGAGACAGACTCCAGACCCTGAGTTCAAGCCCCAGTACCAGAAAAAAAAATTCAGAATAAGAGCTATAGAGAGGCATATTTAAGGCAATAATTATGTATATTCCAGCTGTCAAACACACACGTGCACACACTTTAGCTTTTGACAATCTTAAATTTCTCACCAAAAGGACATAGCAATTTATACAGCTACCAAAAGCACTGTTATTCCCACGTCATTGCTTCACTGAGGTTTTATCATTCTTTCTGGTTTTTTTTTTTTTTTTTTGGCACTTTGGCTTCTATCTGCCTGGACCTAGGCCCTCTCCTAACCCTAACTGTCTCGTAGTCCTAAATAAACTCTTCCTCCTATCTCCCTTTTCCCATGTACACCTCCTCCCAGCTATGATCTGCCTTGTGAGGAGGCCTCTCATTTCTTCTTTTTAAGTCTGTCAGCATGTTCCCAGTGCCAAAGAAAAGATGACAGAGCCAATGTTTCCCCTTGGGATTGCATCTAGTAGTCAGAATCCCATCTTGTATTTTAAAGGGAGCAGAAAAAAAACACCCCACAAGTCAAGTCAACTGCCCACAATATTTATAAGAAAAGACTATGGTTTTTAGAAAACAAGGGACTTGTTATATTATTTACTTCCCTTAGGAAAGAAAAGCAAGTGATTGTATTTTCAAAAGGCTTACACAGTAGTTCTGCTGACAAGCTGGAGCCTAGACCATCTGTTCTAATTTCTCTTAAAAAAAAAAAAATACCTGATGGCACTGTTACATTAGAACAGCCATTGTTCTTATAGTCTTTCTCAATAACAAAGGACCACACACCCACTCCTTTAACTTGCAGTAAACTTACCATAATATCTTCTTTCCAGATGGCCAAATTCCACCCTCCGATGGTGAGGATAATGTCATTGTAGAAAGGTGATCTTTGAACAGTATGGACAGCTCCGTCATGAATGGCATACAGGTTCACTGGCTTCTTTGCTGTTGGAAGGGCCACGCTGGGGTGAATCAGTCTGTCAAGGGATGGCTCTCTTTCTTTATATGGGAAATCCAAGGTCACTTTTCAGGATTGGGATTGGAGGCCAGCTCACGTAAAGAATAAAAAAGCTTGTGCAATCCTTTCTCAACTAACACCTGTTTTTACCTGCAGTCCTAGCTTCATGGGAAGCACGGATGAGAGGGCTATAGTCCGGGATGGCTGAGACATAAATGTGAAAAATAGCGAAAGCAAACAGTTCTGGGAACACGGCTCAAGCATTAGCATGCCTGCCTACCAAATACAAGGCCCTGAGTTTGAACTCCAGTATTGAAATAAGAAAAAAAAAAAAAAAGGTTAAGATTGTTAAGTTTCATGTGCCTCTATGTAGCACTGTGAAGAGTTTTTGTTTTTAAAGCCTCTAAGGTAAAGAAAAATACATTTTAAAAGTTTAGCTCTTCTGGATTAATAAAAGGTTAATTTTCCTTCAATCAGTTCCTTGCCCGGAAGAGAGCATAGAAATATATACTTTTAAGACTTTCTTCAGTGATCTTGAAGATTCCTGGTAAGGCACAAGGTTGCCCAGAAACCGGCAGCTCTCTCCTTGCTGCTGCTCTTGTCACTAGTTATCATATAAATGGAAAAAAATTCATCTTGCTTGTGATTCCCCTCCCATCCCCCCCACCCCGCCGCTGCCACATGAAAGCAGTTTAAGAAGCTGTGTGTAGGAGGAGAGGAGATGGAGCCTCATGAAAATTTCAAGAGACCAAGAGGACCAACCAAAACCATGTTATCAAGTGCTCAGCTCATGTCCCAAAGGTGTTAGAAAGACAAATACCATGTAATATAGTGTCTAGCATAAGATAACCATGGATTATGGAATAAATGGCTATTTAAGCAAACATAAAAGAAGTTAACTGTAATTCATTATACCCAGTATCTAATTGTGAGTTCAACTTTAAGTCATAGAAATGGAAAATGGTAAATGAGTCTCAATTCTGTGCATCCATGACCCTCCTTGGGGTCATAGTTCTCTTTTGATGTTGCCTTTGACTTTGTAGCCAGGGGATATAATAGAAAAAAAAAAAACAGAAGTGTGTTTGCTTCCAGATTAAAATGGCTATCCTGCAGGTATGACTGACAAACTGTCTCACATTAAGGGCAAATTTTAGTCTCTGAAGCCAGCTCAGTCAAGTGAAGAAGCCAGCCCCCACAGCTGTCTTTGTAAGGCTGTGGCTCTGGCCAAAGATTCCTGCAGGCCACTCATTCTCCATTCATCCAATAACTTCCAGCCTGGCCAGGTCCCTTCTGCAAACAAACTGGTGCATGCTACCACATAGTAGTGTTCTGCTTTGGGGCATGCTTACAGCCTTGACTGGCTGGTAGTTCATGAAGCTACTGCTTCCTTTGCATATTGTTATTCTGAACTTCAAACTGTAGTTAAATTAAATGTATTTTCATACCATGGTAAAAAATGAAGCTTTAAAGTAAGTAGTTTCAACTGTTATGAACCCCAAGGCTCTGAGCCTATTAAAGACAAGGAGCTTTGTTTATTGGGCTCCTGTTCTCCTGGGTGTGACCCTATACCTATGCTCAAGTGCCCAGAGTCCAGATCCAGGGAGCAAACTTGTCAGTTATTTTACAAGAAATTACAAGTGTCTCATTGATTTCAACATCAGAAAAGTTAGTACTCATCAAATTTTGGTGTGAAATTATATTAGCAGACTAATAACCTTTGTGGGTTTTTATTTGTGAGATTTTTATATGTATTTATAGGAAGCTCAAGGTGACAACCATGCTGTTCAGTAAAAGACTTCACTTTTTTTTTTCCAGTCGTGTGGCTTGAACTCAGGGGCTGGGCACTGACTCAGAGCTTTTATTTTTCTCTCAAAGCTAGTGTTCTACCACTTTGATCCATAGCACCACTTCCAGTTTTCTGGTGGTTAATTGGAGATGAGAATCTCACCAGACTCTCCTTCATGGGCTGGCTTTGAACCACAATCCCCAGATCTCTGCCTCATGAGTAGCTAGGATTTTAGGCATAAGCCACCAGTATCTGGCAGAACATTTTATTAACAATACTTACATACTTAATTCACAAGACTTACATATCAATCGACCAGTATCAGGATCTCTTTCCAATCTCCAGTCTGTATACATCACTTCACCTTCCTGGAAATATTAGTTTTCAAGTGAATACAATGACAACTTCAGAGATGAAAGCTCTCATGTCTTTTCTCTGAGACTTATTGCAACAAAACAATATAAAGCAACAGGTCAATTTAATCACATGACAATCTAATATAACAGGAGGAGAAAAGTCTCAGAAACATTACTTGATTTTATAATGAATAAAAAAGTGAGTGATGAGGAGTACATGGCTGGCTGGGGAGATAGGCCACGGTTTGGCAAGGGCCCCAGTTATGGCTTTTCCAAGTGCTGATGAACCAGAGGGACCTGCTTCATCTCATTCAGAGGTGTGTTTGCACCATGGAACGAAAGTCAGGACTTTATCGATTAAGACTGTAGGATCAGAGGAAGCCTGAGAACACTTGTGTACTGAGATAGTAATTACCTTTTAAAGCTGAGAACAGGAAAGATAAAACTTAATCTCAAGTAAACATGTGCTATTATATAGTCTATTTCTGCCTTATGATCATTTCAAGGCAAGAGGAAGCAGAAAGATCTGGTGTAAAGCAACAGAAGAAAGTCAGGCAAAAGGGTTAGAGACGGAACTGTTAGCCGGGAAGGATCCTAACAGGGCCCACTGAGCCACAGAGGCGGGAGAGGAAGCAGCCCCACACTCCCATCGTAATAAAGAGAACACGGACGGTTAAAGGGCTGACTCAAAGTCACTCAGCAGCAGAGTCCAATTCTCTCTACCGCCTCCCATCCCCCTCTTTACCCCCACTGGTCGATAAGAGAAAAACATGATTCTGATGGTCTCAGATCCATCTGATGGTCTCCTTTCGGTGAACCTTAGAGAGGGAGATAAGAAAACACTGATTCATGAACAGTGAAGGATGAGCTCAGTGGTGGTGCCACCAGTTAGGGAAGAGAGAGAATAAAGGAGTGGTTCCAGTCAAGATAATAGAAAGTTCTGGTGCCGGATGATAATACCTGCATAACAATAAGCATGTACTTTATTCCCCAGAGTGGTGTACTTATACATAATACTTTTATGCCTGGGCATTGGTGGTTCATACCTGCAACCCTACTACTCAGGAGGCTGAGATATGAGGAGTGTATGTAGTTTGAAGCCCATCCAGGTAGAAAACACTGTCAGTCTCTTATCTCCAATTAACCAGAAACAAAGCTGGAAACAGAGGTATGGCTCAAGTACCAGCCTTGAGCAAAAAAGCCAAGCAAGGATGAGGCCCTGAGTTCAAGCTCCAGTACTGGCACCAAAAAAGAAAAAAAGGAGGGAAAGGAGAAGTAAAAGGTAGAAGAAGAAAGAAGAAGAAAGAGGAAGAGGAGGAGGAGGAGGAGGAGGAGGACGAGGAGGAGGAGGAAGACGTAGTATTTTATGTGCATTGAAAAATAGTCAAAAAACCTCTTTGTGAAATGCAAGTTGGTAGTGTCCCATTGTTTACTGCATGAAATTCTAATTACCTAGTAGCAAAGGGTCTTCTGTATGGGCTTGTAACTCAGTAATCTAGGCATATCTTGTGCTTTGCACTGGGCTCTTCCATTATCTTTAGACAAATACTTGGACTTTCATAATTCCAAACTGTTGTTAAAGCTATTAGTTGTTCTTGGAACTCTTCTCTCCCTCTGACTTTTCTAGTCTTAGTTCAACTTTGAGTGTCCAGTCAGCACAAGGGTCAATTTTTCCAGCCTCCCACTTCCTGTCCTACCATGCCAGTGTTGCCATTTATCATGCTGTTAAATGTTTTGTTCCTTTACTTGGGAAGATGGTGCCTTGAGGATGAAGGGATCGTGCTGTGTGTCTCTGGTACCAGGGCTGAGCCCTGTGCCTGGGAGGTCTTATGCTCTCCAGAGCAGTGGCATTGATCAAGCTCAGAATAGCAAAGGGAATAAAAATTGCATTTTATGCGATTGAACTAGGACATCTTTCCTGGTGTCTTGGCTAGGAAAAACCCCTTTCTCTATGTGGATGAAGTTCTAAGCCTTATTTTCTTCATCTGTAAAATGGAACAATAATAATATCAACCTCACAGGATTACTTGAGGTAAAATGTGATATGATTGATTTGGGAGATAGAGTGGCATAGACCCTGATACAGAGCAATGTCCACTCATATAAGATGAAAAATGGCCATCATTATCATTATTATATCTAATTGTTATTTGTCTTTCAAATTGAATGAGATTTTACTGTCTTTCTACTAGTTGATATTAGATTAAGGTTGATACTTACCTTAGGTGTTAGTTGATTAGCCTAAAGTTGGTATTCGTCATAGGTATTAGCCTAACCAAACAAAATATCTTTAATATTTAGGATTCTTTCACAGTTAATTTATTTGATAAATACTTTCAGGTTGGCCTATAGATTATTAATACAAAGCATCACTAAGTTTATAGCTTTTCCCATATTTGTTAAAGAACCATGTGAGCACTACGTTGAAAACGAAAACGAACTTTACAACTTCGGGGAGGGGGGGAAGGGAGTGTAGTTGTGGAGGTGGGAGGGAAAGGATGGTAGGGGAAAACAAAGGAAGAGGCAACAGTACTCAATAGGAAATGTACTCATTACCTTGCTCATGTAACTGTAACCCCTCTGTACAGCATTTTTACAATAAAAACATACAAAAAAAGCCGGGTGCTGGTGGCTCACGCCTGTAATCCTAGCTACTCAGGAGGCTGAGATCTGAGGATCGCAGTTCAAAGCCAGCCCGGGCAGGAGAGACCTATCTCCAATAAACCACCAGAAAGCCGGAAGTGGCGCTGTAGCTCAAGTGGTAGAGCGCTCGCCTTGAGCTGAAGAGCTGAGGGACAGCACCCAGGTCCAGAGTTCAAGCCCCATGGCCGACCAAAAAAAAAGAAAAAAAGCATACAAAAAAAGAGAACTGTGAATCTATGAAGTATTGTGGTTAAAACTTAAGTGCAAATTTTGTAAAACTTCCAAGGAACAAACGTGAACAACATATGTTTTAACTATATATTTTCATGTAAGGAAGTATGGACTTTAGAAGCAGATAATTCTGTTTACCTCTGTTCCCACAAAGAATTTTGTGCAGAATTCCTCTATTGGCTTGAGAATATTGGCCAATCCGGCTTCTAGATTTTGGTATGGCTTTGTTTCTTCTATCTTCATTATTTTAGGCTGGACTAATCCTTTGTCTTTCAGAAGGGTTTAGATAAAGGAAGCATAATATTTATGGTAAAATATAAATTATAGATTATATATGATATACTTTCTGTCCCTTTGCTACACACACACACACACACACACACACACACACACACACACACACACACACCTATCCCAATCTTTTCTTTGCCAGTGTGGCTGGCTTAGAGCCAAGCATTTTTAGGCTTCAATCTAGCAGGAGAACCCTTCTTTTCAAATCTAATGTAAACCATATTTTAGCTAACCATGCAAATAGCACAGGAGCATAGTTAATCTGGGTGTAGGAATGCAAGCACCATCAGTAATTTGTTGATTTAAAAATATTTAATGTCACGTTATTATTATTATTATTATATTGTTCCTGGGGCTTGAACTCAGAGCCTGGGCACTGTCCCTGAGAATTTTGCTCAAGGATAGCACTCTACCTTTGAGCCACAGCTCTGGCTTTTCTGGTGCTTAATTGGAGATAAGGGTCTCACCAACTTTCCTATCCAGGCTGGCTTAGAACTATGATCCTGAGATCTCAGACTCCTAAGTACCTAGAATTACAGGTGTGAGCCACTGGTGCCTGGCTTGGTGTCACCTAATTTCAAAATGAAAGGTTTTATGACCTAAAGTTAATAAACATTACTTATTTAAGCTTTGGAAAACAGAAAAAAGCATGACTAAATGGATTCTGTGTGTGTGTGTGTGTGTGTGTGTGTGTGTGTGTGTGTATGTTTTGATATTGGGGCTTGAACTCAGGGCTTGGATGCTGTCTCTTTGTTTTTTCATAATATTCAATGAACATATGTAAAAATGGAACTAGGTAAATTGAGAAAATGGGTGGGGTTGGGAGAGATGGAGGAGAGCAAGGAAATGGGTGACATTGATCAAGATGAATTGTTCTTAGAGACTGACATATTGAAAGGAAACCCTTTTCTACAGCTACTTATACATAATAAAAATTAAAGAAAAGCATGAGTAAAAAAGCACAAATGACCAGGCAGTAGTGGTTCACTCCTGTAGTCTAAGCCATTCCAGAGGCTAAGATTGGGATAATCATCATTTGAAACCAACTCAGACAAAAAAGTCCTCTAGACTCCTTCTACAATAAACTAGCAAAAAACCAGGTTTGGAGGTGTGGCTCAACTGGTAGCGCACCAGCCATGCAAGCAAGCTGAATGAGAGCTCTAGGCTCTCAGTGCAAGCTTTGGTGCAGGCAATAAAATAAAAAGAAATAAAATGTTATAGCTCCCAGGATAACCACTACTAAAACATTGGTATTTTCCCTCTACTGACTTATCGATGAATATACACGAACATATTTTTATAAAACTTGGATCAAATTCTATTACAGCTTTGTGTCTTGCTCTTCTGTTCTTTTAAAGGTATGTCTCAAACATTTTTTCCAGGTCACTTTACTAGTTTTCAAAAATACAAAAAATACAAAATTTCTAAGAACAATAACAGCCTTTTGGTACATTACCTATGGGAAAATGCCAGAATAATATACATCTGCCCAGAACAGACAAACGAAAACTCAAACAAGATAAAAACACTTTTACAATATTAATAATATATGTTGCACTAAAAAAAACCTTTTAACATGATCCTGGAAAAAAGCAAAAAAGGATTGTTATAATTTATTTGGTTTTGTCAACTAGTGCTACTCAGGAGGCTGAGATCTGAGGATGAGGGTTCAAAGCCAGCCTGGGCAGAAAATGCCTGTGAGATTCTTATCTCAATTTAACCACCAGAAAACTGGAGGTGGACCTGTGGCTCAGAGTGATAGAGAACTAGCCTAGAGTGAAAAAGCTCAGGGACAGTGCCCAGGAAAATACATTAAAAACAAGTAGCAAAACCAGCCAAACATGTAGCTTTTTAAAGGAACAAGATCTATAAATAATAGTCTTATAAGGTGTAAGTTAAGATTTCAGTGAATACCAAAACACATTTAATCATATTATGAAAAGATGTTATTTACAATACATCTAGGAAAAGCAAATGAAATTTATGTATTTAGTATATAAAGCTAAAATCATTAATAAAATAAGAATTTGTATTCGTTTCAATGTTTGATTTTCTATTTTTAGAATAATGTAAGTAAATATAGTAGTGGAATAGAGCACATAAATAAGCTATAAATATATGGACATTAGAAATTTATACTAAAAATGTCTACTCAAGAGGTTCAAGACCAGAAACTTTGGTGAACTCTGGTTTAACAAGGGAAGACAAGAACCTGATCTATACACTTAGCACAGATAATGAAAAATTACAAATGTAAGATATGTTGTAAAGGAAGACATAATTATTCAGAGTGAGAAACTGCAAGTGTCTTTGAGACTTCAAACCAGATCATCAACTTCAGAACATACATACTCACCCATGGTTCTGCATTGCTAAATAAAGAATATATAACTGGCCCTGAAGGCTATTCCAAAAGGAAAATTCTGAAATGACTTAGAGCAAAGACCTCCTCCTTAAAACACATGTTTCTTAAAGTTCTGGAGTACTTCATGAGGACACTAAATTCATGGTCCTAAAATGGCAGAAAAGGGATGAGTGGCCCTCTGACACTAGATGGCGACAGAGCAATCGTTTGCAGTATGAGCTAAACTGCCTGCTGCTATCTTTAGAACCCCAAGATAGGGACACAAGTGGTTTTTTTCTTTCTTGCTATTGTTTCTAACATATTTATAAGGTACCACTATGGTATAACCCCTGTTTTCATTGTATTTGATGTCGGTATAATTTGGGGAGGGGAAGGGAAAAAACAAAATGTTTAAATAGGGATACAAGTTGACCCATTGTAACAATGAGATGTACAATATATTATACAATTTAGGCGGGGAGTGGGGGGGAGTGTAGTTGTGGAGGTGGGAGGGAAGGGATGGTAGGGGAAAAACAAAGGGCTGGTAGGCAACAATGCTCGATAAGAAAAGTACTCATTACCTTGCTCATGTAATTGTGACCCCTCCGTACAGTATTTTCACAATAAAAAAACTTATTTAAAAAAACTTTTAGTGTTTCTGGAAATCTAAAAGCATGTCTATTCATCTTATGAACTGAGACAAAGTGACAATCTTTAGTAAACATTCAGAAAGTCATGTTGTCCAACAAGATTAGCATTCATTTGATGGAGTGTATTCCTACTAGATGACATGCTGCCAGCTGCTTATTTTTTGTCGGTCCCTCTTGAATATATGTAAATATACACTTTACATATCTTAGTGTCTGTGGTACCAAAATATTAGCTCCTTGAAAGTAGGGACTTTGCTTCTCCACAGCTGTATCCTTCAGAGCGTAGGATTTGCAGGAATTTAATAAATACGTGTTGAATGAACTCAGGCACTCTAAAGAGCTGGAAGTAGAAGTGTGGCTCAAGTGGTAGAGTGCCAGCCTTGAGTGCAAAAGCCAAGCAAGAGCTTGATGCCCTTAGTTCAAGCCTGAGTACTGGCACACAAAAAGTAGGTATATGTGTTATATGATATGCTTAGGTTATATACATGTATATATCACATACATACATATGTGCTCAATAAATGTAAAATTGAATTTTGTTACATTTTTTGAATATATAAGCAGTTTTAATGTATTAGCTATAGTTATTATAACCATTATAAAGTTCCATCTTAGAGATTCTGATTTTCTGTATTCCTTTTATGAATTAGACTCTTTCAGCAAGTGACTCACCTTAGATATAGACACAGTACTTAAACTATTAGGTGCCTTTTACAACAGGCGGTTGGTTACCTTGTGTTCTGAAAAGAATATGGTCTTCGTTCATGCTGACCTTGGTTGGGCAGTGGTCCAAATTTGTATCACCTTTAGATAATTTTATCTTTTGGAAGAACAGAAAAGATATATCTGTAACTTTGCCTTTTCAGACTTATTATTGCCTGTCTTTTCCTCTCCCAGATTGTAGGAAGTCCACAGGCCTCTCCATCCTTCCCCCACTTCCCTGTTAGTTTCCCAGGGAAGCACTAACTCATATTTCTAAAATTCTGTCGCCACAGGAAATGTTCCGGGGCATATTCATAAATTCCAAAGTCTCATGTGATGTTTTCTTTCTGCAAATATCTTATATTCAATTAGATTCCATAAGATATCCTAATAGGTTCTTTTGCTTTGTTTTGCTTTGCTGGCCTTGGGCTTGAACTCAAGTCTTGGGCACTGTCCTCGAGCTTCTTTTGCTCAAGGCTAGTACTCTATCATTTGGGCCACAGCATCATTTCCAGGTTTTTGTGGTTAATTGGAGATGAGAAGCTCATGGACTTTCCTGCCCAGGCTGGCTTAGAACCACAATCCTTAGATCTCACTTTCTCAGCTAGGATTATAGACATGAGCTACTGGCACCAGGCCTATGCAATAATTCTTAAATGTTTTTGTTTATTTATTATACTTATTCATAACTCAGTAAATATTACCCCAGAAAAATTTTAATATCCCTTTTTAAAATTATTTCCCAGCTACTTTAGAAATATTCTTAGTGCTCTTTCTGCAAATACTTATTTTGATAAGCAACTATGTAATTTATCCTAGTATGATACTATAAATTCCCAGGAAAGAAAAGTGTTACATTTGGAATTAATGTTCAACATTCAAAAGAAAAAAACCTATTCACATTCTACATACATTCTATTCTTAACCAAATGGTTCTCTAGGTAATTTGCTTTTCTTCAAGTTCTGTGATTCAAGATAAAGACAAATTCTCAGTTCTTCACATTTTCAGTTCTATTTGGTCAGACGTAATTTCTTACTCTTGATAAATAAAATGTACAGAAGAAAGAAAGACCAATTTTTCTGGGCTAACCTGAGTACAAATCAAATTTTCAAATAACCAAAGTGTAATTGAATAATTATACAAAAGCCAATTGTAAAATTTGACTTCTTATATGTACAAGATCAATCTCAAGTTCACAATGATTTTGATTTCTGGTTTGGTCTGGGCAGTATCAAAATAAATCCTCCACTAAGAAGTTTATTCATTGATTAAACTGTAAGGTGGTATATATGTGTGGCTATTTATGTTCGATGCATAGTGCACATCAGCAAGAAGGCTGGAATGAATTCATTTTACTTACCCTAGCGAGGGGTTTCCAGGAAAGATCAAGATGCAAAAAAGTAGGTGGCACATCAAATGGAATTTCTATACTTTCTTCTTTCTTTTTCTCTGTTGGCTGGGTGGTCGTGGCAGGTTTCACTGGTCTAATGTCCCAGAAACATATTGTGCTTCAAGAAAGTTTTGATTGTTTTCTTCAGTACAAGTAAGTACATTTATGCTACTACACATTAACAAAGCTATGTTACAATGTCTTTGAAATTAAGATTTTTATGAAAGAGCATCTTTTTGCATGTATTTTAGAGAATTAGAGCATTTAATACCATCTATGAGCATTGAACTTGCAGACTGACACAATCTTTTTTAAGTGCAAGAGATTTATTATAACATAATTATATACTACAAAACCTACCCATTTAAAGTATATAGTTTAATGTATTAATTAGGTCTCTCTGGCTTATGTCTATGCTAGTCATGTAGGGCCTCTCCTGTAATTCCATGCTGCTCATGCTGCTATCTGTCTCTTTGGCGTAAGCTGTGATTATTTCTATTAGGGTTAAAGCTGTTTAATAAAAAAAAAATTCAAAAGTTTTTTTTATTGCACAAAACGTGTTTTATATGACATTTTCACACTTGTACGTGCTTTCCTTTGATTATACTCAACTCCATATTTCCCTCTGCTGTTTTCTTTTCCCCTCCTGCTGTGTGAGTCCCCTTCATGTTCTCAAGTAGTCCCTTACTACTTTCATGTCTTTTAATTAAAAAAAAAATCACTTTGGAAAGCAGTATGGAGGCTCCTCAAAAGACTCCACATAGAGCTCCCCTATGACCCAGCAATCCCACTTTTGGGCATTTACCCAAATGTTTACAAACAAGACCACACTAAAGCTACCACCACAACTATGTTTATTGCAGCATTATTTACCATAGCTAAGATCTGGAACCAACCCAGATGCCCCTCAGTAGATGAATGGATCAAGAAAATGTGGTATATATACCACATACCTCCTTCAGAAAGAATGACATTGCCCCATTTGTTAGGAAATGGAAAGGCTTGGAAAAAATTATATTAAGTGAAGTAAGCCAGGTCTAAAAAAAATAGGTCCCATGGTTTCCCTTATTTGCAATGTCTAGTATATGTATGAGTCAAGCAGAAAAGGTCAGATAAGGTGATGTTAGGGAAATGAACCCTAAGATATGTATTCAAATGTTTTTTTTTATTTCATGCGATTGTTTCTAACACATTTATAAAATTATTTCTTGTTGCTTTGTATGTCCCTCCCCCACAGTATAACCCCTGCTTCTCACTGTATTTGATGTCGGTATAATTTGTGGAGGGGAAGGGGAAAAGTAAATCGTTTAAATAGAGATACAGGTGGACCCATTGCAACAATGAGATGTACAAGTCGTTATGTCAAAAAGGAACTTTACAACTTTGGTGGGGGGGGGAGGAGGATTGGGTGGGGGGGGGGGGGGAGGATGGGAAGGGATGGAAGGGGAAACAAAGGAGGAGGGTACAATGCTTGATAAGAAATGTACTCATTATCTTGCCCATGTAATTGTAACCCCTCTGTACAGTATTTTCACAATAAAATAAAAAATCTAGATTCTGCATATGAGAGAAAACATGCAATATTTGTCTTTCTGAATGTGGCTTATCTCATTTACATAATGATCCAGTTCCACCTATGATGCAAGTGACACACTTTGTTCTTTATGGCTCAATAATAATTGTATAGAAAGATATACCACACCTCCTTTACCCATTGAACTGTTAATAGGCACCTTGGCTGACTCCTTGGCTATTATGAATAGTACCAAAACTCTGTGTGTGTGTGTGTGTGTGTGTGTGTGTGTGTGTAAATTTATTTCTTGTTTATTTAACAAATAAATTATAGGTGGTAAGAATCAATCAGCAAATAACACAGCAAAGGAAAAAAACACAGAAAACTAACAATTTATTAGAAAGATACAGAAAATAAAATAAGTAAGTAAAGCAATTTAGTAAAGTGCTGGTGCTTATGTAATTAAATCTACTCAGAAGGCTTAGATCTCCAGGCTCATGACTCAAAACTAGCCTGGCCAGAAAAGTCCACGAGACTCCCTCTCCAAAATAATCATCAAAAATCCAGAATGGAGGCATGGAACAAGTAGCAGAGCACTAGCTTAGCAAGTGTGAAGCTCTGAGTTCAAACCCTATACTGAAAAAAATTAAAATTTATTATTTGATAACTGTAAGATATAAAGCCAGGAGTGGGCTGGGGAGCTTTCTCCTAGAGAGAAACAGCACCTTTGAAGAGTGTAGTAAGTAGAAAAGCTAATGGACAGAAGCACCGCCTACTCCCAGGACTTAAGCAACAACTTTCTGGTTGTTGTCTGCTTTCCATTCTTCCCCTGGATGTTCAGCCTTCCACAAGGGTTCAAGAAGAAACTTACAGCTCGTAAATTGTTTAGCATTTCTCCTCAGCTAAAGCACTAAAGCACTGCCACAGCTCCCAGTCTCTCAGAATAATCTTGAAGTCCTTACCTGGTGTGGTCTGTGTTCATATTGAGCCCAACCTCTTGCTCTACTGGCCATCTCATCCCCTAGCCACAACTTGTCAGAGCCCCACATGTTTTAGAATGTTCCCTTGCCGCTTTGTATGACAGAAAGATGATCTGCAAACACCACCTTCTCAAACACCAACTGATCATCATATGTCAGCCTCCGTGTTTTCTGCGGACCTTTTTATTTATTATTATTATTAGTCGGTTGTGGGGCCTGAACTCTGGGCCTCAGCTCTTCAGCTCAAGGCTAGCGCTCTACCACTTGAGTCACAGCACCACTTCCGGCTTTTTCTACTTATGTGGTGCTGAGGAATCGAACCCAGGGCCTCATGCATGCAAGGCAAGCAGTCTAACTACTGATAACTACTGAGCCACCTTCCCAGCCCTTCTGTGGACCTTTTTTTTTTTTTGTCAGTCGTGAGGGTTGAACTCTGGGCCTAAACGCTGTCGCTCAGCATTTCAGCTCAAGACTAGTGCTCTACCACTTGAGCCACAGCACCACTTCTGGTTTTCTGAGTGGTTTATTGGAGATAAGAGTCTCACGGACTTTCCTGTGTGGGCTGACTTTGAACGGTGATCCTCAGATCTCAGCCTCCTGAGTAGCTAGGATTACAGGCGTGAGCCACCAGTGTCTGGCTTGCAGACCTTTTTAAATATCATTTCCCACCCCTGTAGCAAACCACATTCAGTTTCCTTACACTTCCTGTTTTCCCTCCTAGGGCCTGAAATTTTATTATTCAAAACTGTTTTTATTATTATTTTCTCTAATATTTTGGAGTTTAGATAAATATATTAGTGTCCATATTTCCTACATCATTACTAATTCATAGTTCTATGAAACTTCAGTTTCATCTAAATGAAAACTCTTCAACATGTTATAAAATGGTATAAACCATTTTATAATGTGCAATAAAAATGTAAAAACCTAAATGTGAAAAACCTTCATAATTATGAGATAAAGTTGAATGTAAACAACACATACAGTGTGAAACAGAAAATAACTATGGCTAACACTGTATCCTTTATCAACTCAGTACAAAAATTGTCCTTATCAAAAGCTTTTTTTGTGTGTGTGTGTGCTAATGGCTCATGCCTGTAATCCTAGCTACAGGTGGCTGAGATCTGAGGGTTGTGGTTTAAAGCCAGCCCAGGCAGGAAAGACTGTGAGACTCTTTATCTTCAATTAACCATCAAAAATCTGGAAGTGAACCTGTGTCTTAAGTGGTAGAGTGCTAGCCTTGGGCCCAAAAGTTCAGGGGTAGAAACCAGGCTCTGAGTTTAAGCCCCAAGACTAGCACAATATAAAATAAGATAATTTTTTTATACACGAACTAATCTATAACATTCTGTCCTGTTAGGTCTAATTCATGTAATAAATATTATTTTTAGTAGCCTCTAAGAAAAAGGAACACATTGTATTAAAGCATTTCAGGAAATGTTTGAATATCATACCAATCTGCTGAGCAGGTGATAAGCTGACAACAGATTCCACTTCGATTCTCAAAGACAGACCCCATTCTGTTAACCTATTAGGAAAAATGAGTACAGGTGTTAGCCACCAGGCACCTGGTCCCATTATGACTTTTAACATATTGTTGCTCCATTTTAATAATATTAAATTATTAAAGAGCTATAATAACCCTCATAACTATTTTCTCCTAATGTTCTTTGATCCTTTCATCTCTCTTTCTCTCTCTCTGTTGGTCATGAGGCTTGAACTCTGGGCCTGGGCTCTGTTCCTTGATGCTTTCATCTCTCAAACCCTTTGTGTCCTGGAGAGAAAATACTTGGAGAGTGTACTGACTTTGTGAACTTAGAAGCAAGTGCAAATAGTCTAGGGTGTCCGAGGGGTGCCTTACTCTGTAGCTAGTTTTCACTCAGTAGTTTCTTGGCATGTTCAGTTCAAAACTATCTTGGCAAAACTGCATATGACTGTGGATCATCAATCCTAGGGATGCCTGCCCCTACTGGCTAAGATCACAAATTTAAAAGCTGAAATATAAAGGAATACAATAACTGCACTTTATGTCTACATATTCAACACTCGCCTTCTCCTTTGTTGTATTGCACCAATGTTAAAACCATCTATGGCTTTAGTGACTGTAAACCTTACTACTTGAATGATTAGCTTCATTACTTTTTTCTAGTGGGGGTTTGAGGGGGGAGTCTTGCTATATAGCCGAGGCTGGCCTTGAACATGCAATCTTCCAATTACAGGCTTATAATTGGGTTTACAGGTATGTATCACCCTGTTCGGCTTAAATGTTCTTTTTCATTACATTCTCATTGATCCCTTAAAGCCAATTTGAACACAGGGTCTCAACATGCTCTAGGCAAGTGCTATAATACTGCACCCCCAGCCCTGGTTTCATTTGTTACCCCCAGGCCTGATATTGATCTGCCAGCATTTTTTAATCCTTAGTTTCTGGTTATTTTGCAATTTATATGAAAATGAATTACTGACTGGAAGCACATTTATTGGTTGAGATCTGAGATTTTACAGTACTGTAGGTGAAAAGTATAAAACACAAAGCACATTAAAACTCACCTCAAATGTGTCAGGCAGCCAGTGTATATCTGTAATTACCTTCCTATGTCCATGTTCGATGGAAGAGACTGCGCAGTGTCTGACATACATTGTTTCTTTATTATTCTCTGGTTCAAGGAGAAACATAGGCTGCAGAAATGTTAACACATGGTTATGTTTCAGAGATTTGATGAGTGAGCTCACCATACTGCATTCTTCATTCTAATTAAAATTTGGAGTTATACCAGTTCAAGGAAAAACATATGTGAGTGCTTTTATATTGCATATATTTAGATAATAGGATTATCCATTTTTCCTTTCAGTTGAGTCTACGATTTTTATCTCTGAAGTTCACAATATATGGATGATATACCATAACTTCATTCTCCATTATTATTAAAAACTGCAAGCTCTTTCAGGCTTTTACTATTAATAGATGAGACAAATATAGGAATTTTTATGGAGTTGTTAGCAGATAAAGCTAGCAACTATATCCATTCCTTAAAAATCATTGACCACAATGCATTGTAAACTGACATGTTGAACTGAAAAAATAATAATAATAATAATTATTATTATATAAAAGGACCTATGGGATATGGCATTCTTGCAGGAGTTTTTCCATGGGTGGATGGAAGCTCATATCATATTCTTTGGGAAGAGACCTATCATTATTAAAGCTGAGGACCTAGAGCTGGAAAGAATAGCCCATAGGATGAATAAATATAGAATGTGGAGCTGAGAAACATCTCAAAGTACTCTGACAGTATCCACAGGCTCACACTTCACATGCTCAGGTGATAGTACATTTTAGTCAGGAAGGATAACTCCTGTATTTTCTACATGAGAACCAATTCCTGATGTACTGTGTGGTGGCATGTCCAGGACTCACTGATGGTGATGCAGAGCCTGGACACAAGGTCTTTCTGTCCTCCAATAACATGGCTTTAGACAAGTCACTTGGCTCCTTCATTTAACTTAATAAGAATGCAACTTGTAAGTGAGGCACTGGTGGCTCACGCCTGTAATCGTAGCTACTCAGGAGACTGAGATCTGAGGATCACAGTTCAAAGCCAACCCAGGAAGGAAAGTCTGTGAGACTCATATTTACAATTAATCACCAGAAGACCTTAAGTGGCACTGTGGCTTAAGTGATAGAGCACTCGACTTGAGATGAAGAGCTCAGGGACATTGCTCAGGTTCAGAGTTCAAGCCCCATGACTGACCAAAAAAAAATGATTTAGACCATGCTCACAAGCAGATGGGAAGGCCTGGGAAATAATTTTGGTTTTTCTTCTTCTTCTTTTCTTTTCTTTGTGTGTGTGTGTTGGTTGTGGAGCTTGAACTCTGGGCCTGGGTGCTATCCCTGAACTCTTCAGCTCAAGGTGAGTGCTTTACCACTTGAGCTACAGCGCCACTTCCGGCATTCTGGTGGTTAAATGGAGATAAGAGTCTCATGGACTTTCCTGCCTGGGCTGGCTTTGAACTGCCATCCTCAGATCTCAGCCTCCTGAGTAGCTAGGATTACAGGCTTGAGCCATCAGTGCCTGGCTTTTCTTCTTTTTCTTTTTGTACTGAGTCTGTCTTCTTTTTTGTTTTTGCTTTTTTCTTTTGTGTTGTATTGGGACTTAAACTCTGGGCCTCTTAGCTTCCCTCCTCTTCCCCCCACCCCCCTCCCAGGGCTGGCATTCTACCATGTGAGCCACAGCTCTTTTTTTTTTTTTTTTTTGCTGGTTAATTGGAGATTAGAGTCTCATGAACTTTCCTCCTCCAGGCTGTTCTTAAACTGTGATCCTTAGAGATCAGCCTCTTCAGTAGCTAGGATTACAGACTTGATCCACTAGCACTTGGCTTTCACTGAATGTTAAACTTGACAACTCTATTATGTACTTTTCAATAAATACCTGAATAGAAAACAAAAACAAAAACAACCCCAAACTTGCAAGTGAATAGTTACAGGAAGCCAACCTTGAGTGAGACTTTTTTACTTCTGCTGCTGCCTGTCTTAATGTTTTCTATGCGCTCTGCATGTGCAGTGATATCCCACATGATGATCTGAAACAGAAATGAGCTTTATTGCCACATTTTCCAGGACATGGCTAAATCAGCTCTTGAATAGTTTTTTTTTTAGGAGATTATTGGTATGTAGGATAAGCAAACTTAGTTTATATCTTAAGTAATTCAGCAACTTTTTTTTTTTGGGTCGGTCATGGGGCTTGAACTCTGGGCCTGGGCGCTGTCCCTCAGCTCTTCAACTCAAAGCGAGTGCTCTACCACTTGAGCCACAGCGCCACTTCCAATTCAGCAACTTTTAAAGCAAATATATATTAAAAAAAAAACAACAACCCTACCTGCAGCACTTGGGCTTTTGTTGATAAATGCTAGTATATTTAAAAATCCAAGAGAAATTTCATGTACTGTCCTTTCCATTGAGAGGCGTTCCTCCTCTGACCATGGGTCTGATTGCAGGTGCAGCTGCTTTCGACCCAGGGGAAATCAGAATTTCCAAGAACTCTCCGGAATTAAGTTCTCCAGAGTTAAGTACAAATACCAGAATTAAGTTCTCCAGAGTTAAGTACAAATACGCAATTTGAAAAGAAATGACGGGGGTGTTGATAAGTGATGATATGAACTGAATGTAATAGTCAGCCTATATTTTTGTATACTATTAAAAAAATAAGTGGAGAGCTGGACACTGGTAGTTCATGCTTGTAATATTCGCTACTCAGGAGACTGATATCTGATGATTTTGGTTCAAGCAGCTTGAGCAAGAAAAGCTTTGACACTCTTATTTCCATTTAACCACCAGGTAGCGCTGTGGCTCAAAGTGGTAGAGCACTAGCCTTGAGCAATAAAGCTCGAGGACAGCTCCTAGGTTCTGAGTTCAAGTCCCATGACTGAGCAGAAAAAAAAGGGTGGGGGATAAAGTAGAATCTGAAGCTCTGAAGATTAGCTTTTAATGACAGTCTTTCAACTTACCAAAAACTTAATATAAAATATCAAGTTCATTAGTTCATCAAGTTCATTTTCATCATATGATTTTCAAAAGTATTCTGAAATAAGAATAAGTTTTGTCATGCATAACAAAAGCATTTCAGAATTTTCAGGACTTGGAGGATAGGGTGGCTCATCATTGTGACTCTCAGTTAATGTTGAACAAGATGGTGAGAGAATTTGTTTTTCTGCTTTTTGGGGGTTAGTTCTGGGTAAATGGGCAAGGGAGATACACATATTTAAATGTTAACCACATAGATGTTTTTATACACACACACACAGAATCATATGCCTTTTTGATCATCAAACCCACTGGATAGTAAGGAATTTAAAATTATATTATATGGTAGCATTACCATTTTTTATTCTGCTTCCTTGGTAAACAGAATATTGGAGGCTAGGCTCTGAATTTCGTATAAATTAGATTACTTAAAAATGCAAGACAGCCAAGTGCTCATGGCTCTTGCCTACAATCCTAGCTACTTAGCAGACTGGGATCTGAGGATCATGGTTTGAAGCCAACCCAGCAGGAAAGTCTACGAGACGTAGCTCTAATTAACCAGTAAAAAGCAGTGGTTCAAATGGTAGAGCACCATCTTGAGCAGAAAAAAAACCAAGGAACACAGCTCAGGATCTGAATTTAAGCCCCAGTTTTTTTTTTAATGGTAAGACAAAAAAGGCAGATGTGATATCATATATACAGGAGGTCAAGGCTGCATGTGTGTTTTCCTGTGAATTTCATTATTTTCTGACCTCTGACCACAAGGACATCTCAGAAGGGGTCTCCTCACAAAGTAGTAATGTGGGTAGACTGTCTTCTTCCATGAAAGCTGATACAACATGGGATTCTACTGTGGCAACTCCAATAGATTTGACTCAGTTGTCGTCACTGGGTTACCCTAGGAATACCTGGGGTGTTGGGATCATGTCTAACACATTTTTACAACCTTGTTTCTGCAGGGCGACTAGCATAAAGTTGGCATGCCTTTCCTTTGCTAAAATGAATCCTATGTCCAAGACACTACTAAATCAAAACTTCTTACAGAACATAATTCGCATTAATAAATGGTGAAAAAAATGGATAAGTACCTGCCCATTTATACAGCCTCCAGCAATGATATTAGGGTCGCTTGGACAGAACTTGAAGCAGAAGATGTCATCTGGGCTTTCCAGCATTAACTATAGTAATCCCACAAATTCAAGAGAGAGTGAGAAAACATATGAAAATGATGGTTAGAAAATAGAATGAAGATACTGAAACTCTAATTGTATAACTATCTTTAAGTAACATGTACCTGAGGCCATCCTAAGAGTTCTGCCTCTGAGTTGAAGGCACTTTTGAGAATAGGTGTGCTTACAGTGGAGCCCATCTTTCCTGCCATCTACCTCAGAGAGTATGTCATTACTGGGCATGCTATAAAATTGTGTGTGTGTGTATGTGTGTGTGTTTTGGTACTGGGGTTTGAACTCAGGGCCTAGGCACTTACTAGTGCTTTAGCTTTTTAGCTCAAGGATGGTATTTTACTACTTGGGACACAGTCCCACTAGGCTTTTTGGTGGTTAATTGGAAACAAATCTCATGGCTTTCCTACCTGGGCTGGCTTTGAACCACAATCCACAGATCTCAGCTTTCCGAATAGCTAGGATTATAGGCATGAACCACTGGTGCCCACTTTTTTTTTTTGTAAAAGGGCTGCCACTAGTGATTCTGCAAATTGTGGAAGGTCAGCTTTGTGAAGAGATTTGTCTTTGTTACCTGCTGTATACCTAGCCTGGCATGTGACACTCAAAAATGAACTTCACTGGTGAGAAAAGATGGAGTTACTGTTGACTGTAACATTCCACAAGTATGAACTCTGTTTTGCTCAAAATGAATGATGTTCTTGCAATCCAGAAATCCTAACTTTATAAGTGCTTAAAATATTATGGGATTATGAAATATTTTGTGGTCTATAATCCTAGCCACTCAGGAGGCTAAAAATCTATGAATCATAGTTCTAAACCAGCAAGAAAGTCTGTAAGATTCATCTCCAGAAATGTAGCTGTAATTCAAGTGGCAGAGAGCTAGCCTTGAATAGGAAAGCTAAGGGGCAGTATCCAGACCCGGAACTGAAGCCTCAGGACTGGCACAAAAATAAATAAACAAATGAACAAAGTGGTTGTCAATAAAAAAACTGCTTAAGACCTCTGAGAAAGTAATAAATGAAAAGACTGCAGGGATAGTTATCATTAATTACCTGAGGATGTATGGGATCAGAGAAACTCCAGAAAAGAATCAATGATGGTTGCAACAATAGTTTACCAGAGAAGTGCACTCGGTCTTCATAGGAGAGTCGCACGGCTACTGACACAACTATTAGCCCTGAATGAAGCACAAGCAGAACAGAAAGTTAAACCACTAACAAATGAACATGAAAGAGAGCTGTGCTGCCAGCATTTGCTGTGATCTTGTTGCTTTGGATGTTGTTTATTTATTTTTGTTTTGTTTTGTTTGGCAGTAAGGCAGTAATGGGGTTTGAACTCTGAACCTTGAACTTGCCAGGCTTTCCACTACTTGAATCACATACCCAGGCCTTTTTGCTTTAGTTTTCAAACAGGGTTTCACATTTATGCCTGGACTGTGATCTTCCTTTGTACATTTTCCCAGCGGTTAGGGTGATAACCATATACCACTACGCCCAGCTTTTTATTTGTTAACATGGGGTTTCTTAAACTTTTTGCCTCCAACTACAGTCCTCCAAATCTCCATTTCCCAAGGAGCTAGAATCATGAACATCAGCCACTGGGCCTAGCTATGGCTTCTGTTCTTCTATGAAATATATTTAGTAACCACCAGCGACATGTTACTTACGTAGCACTTAAAACTAGATGATCTGAATTAAAATAAGCTGTTAGTATAAAAGTTAAAACAATGGACCTGGATGCTTTTTTACTTCTTTTCTTTATGAGGAAAGGCCCCGGGAGGGTGGGGGTGGGCGGGGAACAGGGCAGGGACCTCTCTTTTCTTCCTTACACCTGCACACACTCCTGCTCTTAGATACTTGGCTCTTTGAAAGGAGTGTGTTTACCATCTTGTCCAGTAATCAAACAGAAAGAAGGCTAGGAGAAGTTAATTCAGCCTGGGGAGTCCAATAACCTCTGGTTGCATTTAGTTTCTGCATTCGTTGAGCTATCTGGGTGACCTGCAAGTCACTCCCCAGAAAAGAACTTTGTAGAGATAATAATACGTATATGCAGCACCATTCTGGGAGAATACAAGACAAGGGGAGGTGTGGGAGGTGCTTGCTCTAAAGATGTCTGGCATTCAGCGAATGCAAGTTGTTTTTTATAGCAATGGATCTAGTCATTTTTGCAAGGAAGAGCAAGACTATTTTGGTATCAGCACAGAAAGGCATGCTGGCATTCTCTTCTCACCGTAGATGGTTGGATGCCAGCAGACACAGGTAACTGTTTTCTCGATGAGGTTGTGAAGGTCCGTAAAGGACTGGTACTCTTTCAGGTGGGTATCAGTCTTGTCCCCAAAGGTGCCTTCTTCTTCTGCCAGGTACTTCCAGTCATCGACAAATGTGTTCAGGAGTTCATTTTGTTGCAAGGCTATTTCAACACTGTTTCATTAAAAAAGGAAAGTAATTAAGATGTTGGATTTTTAGTATTCAATGATATGGAGATTTTTTTAACAGTTCTTCCATGTATATACAACAAAAATAATCATAATAATTACTATTTTAATAAATTTAATAAGTGTACTTATTACCTTATTTAGGTAACTGTAACCCCTCTGTATAGCACCTTGACAAGAAAAATATAAAAAGTGAAAAAATAAATGAAACAATACCATCAACAATAATGATAATGCTCAATTATATTTGGCCATCATGATGAACCCTATGTGAACTAAAGGATTTAGGAGAAATAAGTTGTGGCAGTGTTCTACTGGCTGGGATAAGACACCGTCAGAATCTGTAAATCCCAGTGTCTCCAGACATGTCTCGGTGAGTCCACTCTGAACACTGGCCACAGAGACTGGGCATGGGTCACAGTGCCTTCTGCATCCCATTCTGAACCTACTCAAGTGTCACCTTGAAGGGCTTTGGTCTCCGGGACTATTTGCATATGTTTGGTGTTTTGCATGGCGTTTAGTTTGTAATTAGCATTCTGTACTCAAGTAATTTTCTTTTACTATTTTTTTTCCTTTTAGCATTGTCTATATTTTAATATTGTTTATTTTGCTTTTGGATGCCCTCCAATAAATGAATTAATTCTGGAGTCATTTTTCACTTGACACTGGATTTCGTTTTGTCATTTGATGAAGAATGAAGAGCCTATCCATCCTGGTGGAATTATATTTCTTAAAGCTAACATTGTTACTTATGAACTTGACCACCAGATTTTTCATTTGTGGAAAAAATAGAAACCAAGTTATTGAGCAAAACCAGCAGACTTGCCCACTATTGTTTCTGTGAGCTTTGATACTGGCTCTCTGAGACCTTGTTAAGCTCTTTCTGGTTTTGAACCCCGGAACTCTGCCCAGGTCATTTTTATCAGCATAGAAGTTTTTATTTAAAAGACATCTCTTTTTCACAGTCACTAAGAATGGCAACAACTCAAAAATTAGTGATGGTATTTGCTTATCCAAAAAGTGCCTCTGACTTGAATCAGGTTCTGTATTCATGAAGATACTTTTACAAGTATTTCCATCATGATAATTATTATTAATAGCCACAGGCATTCGCATTATCCTATAAAAGTCAATGCAGTGGGGCTGGGAAGGTGGCTCAGTTGTAGAATGTTTGCCTCACATGCATGAGGCCTTGGGTTTGATTCCTCAGTACCACATAAGCAGAAAAAGCCGTAAGTGGCTCTGTGGCTCAACTGGTAGAACACTAGCCTTAAGCTGAAGAGCTGAAGGACAGACTCAGGCCCAGAGTTCAGGTCCCATGACCGAGAAACAAACAAACAAACAAATAGGTCAATGAAACTAAGAAGGAGACTAAAGAAGGAAGAAAAAATTAAAAATACAGAGACTGAGTATCCCTAATCAAAAAGTTGTATTGAAACCTGAGATGCTCCAAAATTTGAAAGTTTTTGAAAATAGAAACGACACTATGAGTGGAAAATTCCATATTATGAAATTGTGTTTCATACATAAAGTTATTTAAAATATTGCATAAAATGTTGCGGTTTCTTTTACCTTGTGCACACACTGTTGAGGAAATCAGCCACAGACTTGGACTGTCCCAGTATTTCTTTTTCCTCTTCTGAGAATTCTCTTGGATAATATTGTGTAGTAGCATTTTTAGGATATGTCCTATATATTAGAGGAAATTTGAATACCAAAATTGAGATTAAAAAAAGCAAGTGTAGGGCACAACAGATTAAATTTGACTGTGGCAATACTATCATGGTATTTACATTTAAATTATATGCCCTAATTATTATTATTATTATTTTTTGTTGGTTGTGGGGCTTGGCCTGGGCGCTGTCCCTCAGCTCTTCAGCTCAGGCTAGGGCTCTACCACTTGGGCCACAGCACCACTTCGGTTTTCTGGTAGTCTATTGGAGATAAGAGTCTCATGGACTTTCCTGCCTGGGCTGGCTTTGAACTACAATCCTCAGATCTCAGTCTCCTGAGTAGCTAGGATTACAGCTGTGAGCCACCAGCACCTGGCTCCTAATTTTTTTTATTTATTTATATTTTTTTATTGCCCTAATTTTTTATCATGGACAATTGATATTGATTACCATAGTTGACATGTATTTCTTCCCAATCCAATCAAAAAGATCTTATTTCACACAAGTTTCATTTAGAAATCATTTAAAGAATACAGAAAAGGTGTAAAATAGACATGTATATGCTTCACTCAGCTTAATCTATTATTGACATTTACCACATGTACATTTTTGGCTTTTTTGTTTTCATTTTGTTAAATTAGTGTTACTTCACCAGCAACATCCATCCCAGGGAATAATTGGCAATGTCTGGAAAGAGTTTGGGTTCTTACAACTGGAAAATACCACTGGAGTCTAGTGGGCAGAGCCAACGATGTTAAACAGCCTACAAAACTCAAGAAAGCCTTCCCACAGCAGAGAATTACCCAGTGTCATTTGTGCTGAGGTGAAGACATCTTGCTTTAAGAACCGAAAGCTTGGGGCTGGGAAGGTGGCTCAGTGGTAGAGTGCTTACCTTGCGTGCATGAGGCCCTGGGTTTGATTCCTCAGCACCACAGAAGCAGAAAAAGCCAAAAGTAGCACTGTGGCTCAAGTGGCAGAACACTAGCCTTTAGCTGAAGAGCTGAGGGACAGTGCCCAGGCTCAGATTAAGCCCCAGGACTAGCAAAAAAAAAAAAAAGTTAAAAAAGAATACAAAGGTAGGAACAGCTACCAGCAGCAATGATGGTATTAAGTCTGAGATCAAGAGTTCCAGCCAGTCTGCCTCCAGCACTGGCCTGTGCTGTGACCTTGACCCATAGTATGACCTATCTGGGGTCACAATCAGTCTCACTAAACTGGGTCAGCCTTTGATCCTAGGCTGGGGCTATGAAAGGGCAAATGGCAAAATTATTACCTACATGGAATGTGATAACAGGTGGCCTGGCATGGATACCTGGTTCTTACCAGCCATGTGACCCTGAGCTAATTATTTGACTTCTCTATTTCACTAAAGGAAATTCTTAAGGCACCTAGCTCATAGGGCTATTCTAAGGTTAGGCTATGTTATTACATACATAGCTTTAAAAATACCTGACACAGGGCTGGGATGGTAGCTCAGTGGTAGAGTGCTTGCCTTGCATGCCTGAGGCCCTGGGTTCGATTCCTCAGCACCACACAAGCAAAAAGAAAAAAGCCTGAAGTGGCGCTGTGGCTCAAGTGGTAGAGCACTAGCTTTGAGCTGAAGAGCTGAGGGACAGCACCCAGGCCCAGAGTTCAGGCCCCACAACCGGACCCAAAAACAAAACAAAAAAACAAAAACAAAAATACCTGACACATTTGAAGTGCTCAATAAAATATTAGGTATTTAATCCATGTTTGTTGAATAGATGTCAGTAAATTGTCTTTGTGAGTGGCAAACATGTTAAATAGAAAGTAATCACACCGATGGGTAAAGAGACTTTTGATTATATTTAATAGAACAACTCTTTTCTTGTTTGCCTAGATTGGTATCCATGGCAAAAAGTAGAATGCTGATAAGAAGGAATATTTGTATTAGAACCAAAGAGACAAATCTGAATCAAATCTTAATTTGAAGGAACAGGTAGGTAAGAAATACATGGTACCTTGTGATCGTTAAAGTAGCCATATAATGAAGAGTTGTTCTTTTATAAAACCTAACTTATCTAACTGCTTCTTAGCAAAACTATTCATCAATTTAAATTATGTTTCTATATAAATTGTGCTCTACACACTGAGCTTTTGTTTTTAATCTCTCTGTCTTCATTTCTTTATCTGGAAAATGGAGATAGGGCCTCCTTCAGGGAGAAGATGGAAGAATTAGCTGGTTATATAGTTATGTAAGTGTTGAGAATAACTCTTGGTGCAAAGCGAACCCTGAAAGCAGCTTCTGTTACTGCAATTACTCTTTGAAGCCTGTCGTGGTTCAGGCTGTCATCCATCACAGTTATGACCCGTGTCTTCCTTCTCTTGTCCCAACTACCTTTCTTTACTCTCTCATCTTAGGAAGGCGATACCAGCATTCTCCTATTCATCTAGGTTTGGGCCATTCAAATTTTTGTTTTGGTTTCCATTTGGTGGGTAAAATCTGCGCTTCTCATCTGATCGATCCTCTCTCTACAGAAACAACTGTGACTAGTATGATTAGACAACATTTGTTGACAGCCCACTCTATCTAAAGTCCTATGGTTGTATCAGAGTCTTAGGGTTCCTCCTGAGTTTGTCAACTGATTCTACCCTGACTGAGGCACTGTTGTGACTAGTATATTCCTTGGTAGAAATATAGATGGAAGCTTCACTTAGAAATCTGAAATTTGCAGGCCCATTAACACTAACAATACTTCTCTCCTTCTTACCTTGTTCATACCTTTTATGATTTATGGATCTCTGGTGTCACTACCTCCAGGGCTTTACTAGAAATCCCTTCTTTTCTCTTTGCTTTCTCTGGTTCTAATCTGTCAGCTAGATATATTCCTTGCCTAAACATTAGTGTCTATGTGTACCTTGAATTTAACAGTTAACATCATATGTCCATGGTATCTGGTTTGTTGGTTTCCATATGCTTGAAGAGTGTTTTTCGGCACTGCACCACATGCTACTGACCCCAATTTTCCTGGGTGTGAGATCCCTAGCTGTGTATGTCATGGCTCTTCTCCTAAAACACTGCAAAATCTTCCTTAACTTCCTCCTTCTCCTTCTGCTTTCCTTGCTTTATTTTATTTTCTTCTTCATTTAAAAAGGACATGCTAGGAATGGTCCTAGGCTTTAGAGATACAATAGTTTTAAAAAGAAGGGATAAAGGGGCTGGGAAGGTGGCTCAGTGGTAGAGCGCTTGCCTTGCATGCCTGAGGCCCTGGGTTCAATTCCTCAGCACCACATAAGCAAAAAGAAAAAAGCCGGAAGTGGCGCTGTGGCTCAAGTGGTAGAGCGCTAGCCTTGAGCTGAAGAGCTGAGGGACAGCGCCCAGGCCCAGAGTTCAGGCCCCATGACCGGACCTCCCCCGCTCCCCAAAAAAGAAGGGATAAAATTCTTACGTTACTGACTTTAAATTCTAGGCAGAGAAGGGAGATGAGAGAATGAAAAGTATATACAACATGAAGAAAAACAGAGAGAAAGAACATGGCTAGTAATGGAGGCTGTTGCTTTCATGTAGAACTGGCAGAGGATGCCTCATTTGTTCAGAAAGTGGAATGAAGGAGGCCAGGAGCCTACTAGTATTTGGGGAAAGAGAAGTCTGTGTAAAGAAGCTGTATATTAACATACCAGTCATTTATATGTATGGAGAACTCAAGAAACAAGGATGATGTAGCTGAACTGGGGAAGTATGAGAAATGAGGACAGACTCAAACAGGATACAGAGCATATAAAGCCCGTATCTTCTTTCAGGATGAGAAACCACTAGAGGGCGGTGGTAAGACATGTTCTGACATACATTTTACAGCAGGATTACTCTGGCTCCGTTAAGAAGAACTCAAAGGATGGACAGTGGAAGCTCACTAGGAGTTCCAGTAATCTAACCGTAGTGGATATATTTTGAAGACAGATACAACAACAAAATCCAAGGTTTTAAGTGTGGGTAGTTAGGAGAATTTCATTACAATTTACAGAGATGTGGAATATGTAGGTAGGAAGTTTCACATTTGGAGATAGAAAATCAAGTGTGCTGCTGGACACTGGCAGCCCACACCTGTAATTCTAACTGCTTTGGAGGCTGAGGTCTGAGGATTGCCATTCAAAGCCAGCCAGAGAAAGAAAGTCCATTAGGCTTTTGTGTCCAATTAGCCACCAATAAATTGGATGTGGTGCTGTGGCTCGAAGTGGTAGAGTGCTAGTCTTGAGGGGAAAAGCTTAGGGACAGTGTTTAGGACTGACACAAATGTTATTTTACTTCAGGGTGTTGCAAGTTTTTGGTATCACAAACACAGTATGTTTATCCACATAGTGTTATCCACATAGTGTTCAAGCCCCTATGAGCAACAAAAAATTAACTTTGGGCCGGGCACCAGTGGCTCATGCCTGTAATCCTAGCTACTCAGGAGGCTGAGATCTGAGGATTGCGGTTCAAAGCCAGCCCGGGCAGGAGAGACTGTGAGACTCCTATCTCCAATAAACCACTAGAAAACTGGAAATGGTGCTGTAGCTCAAGTGGTAGAGCGCTTGCCTTGAGCTGAAGAGCTGAGGGACAAGTGCCCAGGCCCAGAGTTCAAACCCCACAACCACCAAAAAAAAAATTAAGTTTGTTGTTGAGCATTTAAAGTTAAGATACTTATTAGTCATCCAAACGAGCAGATGATGAATGAGTGAGAGAAAGGTATGAGGGAGGAGACATTGAGGTTGGGTGTGTACACTTGGGAGTCAGAAGCATAATACAGTGTTGGATAAAGTTACTCTGGGATTAAATCTAGCTAGAGAAAAGATGGAAAAGAGTTGGAATTGGAGTCCTAAAATATTTAAAACCCAAGAAGAAGAAAGCCCAGTAAAAGGGCCCACTAAGGAGCTACTGTGGGGATCAGAAAGTGAACACTACATGCAATCAGCAAAATGGCAAAAGTGTTTCAAGAACGAATCAATCCTGTTTTATCTTACTAAGGAGCTGAAGCAAGAGTAGTTCTGGAAATGGACTGGCTAGGAGGTGTTTAAGACTGAGTTGAGCAAGCTCAAGAAGAGAAAGTAGAACTAGACCATGTTTGTGGTAAAGAAAAGCAGAGATGTTAGGTAACAACTGGAGCAGCAGCACTTCAGTGAAGTTCACAGCATTTTGTATGTACATGGCACCTTTCCACCTCTATTTACTGCTACCACCTAAATTTAGACACCCATCACATCTTGCCTGGTTTAATTACAACAGGCTCCTACTTCACCAGTCTCAACTCAGGCTTTCTTTTCCCTGCCCTCAATCCATACTGCATGGGTTGTCCTATCTTTATAATCTTACCATCATGTCTCTCCTTTGCTCTAGAACTTGCCAGTGTTTCCTACCATTGCCACTTCCCTGTTTACCTCCTCAGTGGGGAAAGAGGACTTTCCATGCCATCACAAGGACTCTGTATGGACATGTGTTAGTAAGTAATAGAGAGTCAGATGAGAAATCTAGCCATGGAAATAAGACAATCAAACCTGGGTCTAAAAGTGGTCAGTTGAAAACTGGGCACTGGTGGCTAAGATCTGTAATCCTAGCAGCTCAGGAGGCTGAAATCTGAGTATTGAAGTTTAAAGACAGTCCAGGCAGTAAAGTCTGTGAGATTCTTATCTCCAATAAACTACTTAAAAAAGAAATCCAGAAGTATAAGCTGGGTGCCGGTGGCTTACGCCTGCAATCCTAGCTACTCAGGAGGCTGAGATCTGAGGGTCACAGTTCAAAGCCAGCCCAGGCAGGAACATCCATGAGCCTCTTTAATCTAATTAACCACCAGAAAACCAGAAGTAGCACTGTGGCTCGAGTGACACAGTGCTAGCCTTGACCTGAAGAGTGCAGGGACAGTGCCCAGGCCCAGAGTTCAAGACCCACAACTGGACAAAAAAGCCAGAAGTGGAGCTGTGGCTCAAGTGGTACAGTGCTATTCTTGGGCATTGAAGGTTAGGGACAGTGCCCATGTCCTGAGGTAAAGCCCCAGGACCAGGACCAAAAAAAAAAAGGTGGCAGGTTGGTTAGGAAGTGGTGGTATTATTCCAGGTGAGAGATTACCAGACGCCATTTTTCCCTATTCATATTCTTTGTATAAATTTTTTTTACAATTAAAAATCATAATGAATAAGATCATATCTTCCTAAATTCCTTTATGGATGTCATTGTCAATGAATTAGTTTTCTATTTTTTATTTTGTGCTGTAACTGGGGCTTTAATTCAGGTCTTGGTCTCTTGCTCATCTTTTTGGCTCATAGCAGGTGCATGACCACTTGATCTATGCCTCATTTCTGGCTTTCTGCTGGTTAACTGAAGATAAAGAATATTGTAGATTTGTTTGCTAGACTGGCTTCAAATCCCTTTTTACTGAGCAGTAGGATTATAAGTTTAAGCCATAAGAACTAAGCTCCATTTTTCTTTCTTTCCTGCCCGAGCTGGCTTCAAACCGTGATCCTCAGATCTCAGCCAGTTGAGTAGCTAGGATTGTACAGATTTGCGCCAACAGTTTTTGACTTCCACCTTAATTTATTATAAACATCCCTCAAAATTATCATGGAGGTTGCTAGATTTTGATGGCATTGTCTGCAAAATGCATACACCATTCATACTCACCATTTTGTCTGAGTACTCATGTCCTTGACTTGGGGGATTACTTGCATGGCAACATCTTTCTCAAGTTGTTTCAGGGTAAAATTTTTATCTGGGTAGGCTGTGCATTCAATGTAGGCATCTTTGACACTGGAAGCATTCTGGTCACTGAACGTAACTGGTGCACCAAATTCACTTCGCTTTCGAGAAATCATATATGTAATCTGCAAACACATGTCAACGTATTACACAGGTAAAGGAACCTCATGATGTCACTGGGAAGAAGGTGGATATATGGTAGACAATGTGTATATTAGATACCCAGATCCTTTCGGATCCTGTTCTATGTTCTGTGGGCCACTTGAGCTCTGTGTGCTTTCTGTTCCCACAGGCTACACCTGCCACTTCTCTTTGAAGAATGCTCCTGAGACTAGTTGTCTATGGGTACTATGGAAAGGTAGAGGAAGGGACTGGAAGCTTACATCTTGACTGCTGGTGGGCTGATAGGAAGCATATAGGCCTATATTTTTGGACAACTCTGAGGCATAGTTAATACTCCACAGTTTCTCCGTGAGTTCAAATTGAAGCCTTTTTCTCTAGAGGGTTTACCCAAGTGCTGTCATAATCAAGTACCAACACGTAGGAATTTATTCTTAGTTGTGTAGGTAAGGAGTCTAGAGTCAAGGTACAGGAGCATTGGTTCCTGTTAGAGCTGGAGGCAGAATCTGTCCCTGTTTCTCTCCTAGCTTCCAGTGTCAACCAGCAATTCTTGGTGTTCCGTGTAGTGAGGCTACACCCTACAGTCTCACCCTCCTTTTTCACATGATATTCTCGTCATGTCTCTATGGCCACTGAAGCGCATCTTCATATAAAGACACTAGTGTAATTGGATTAGGGGCCTAACTTGTTCCTTATCTCTAATTAATTATATAAGCAATGACCCTATTTCCAAATAGCCTCACATTCTAAGGTACTAGGGTTATGACTTCAACATCTTTCTTCTTTTTTGGAGGGGGAAAGCAATTAAATACATATTCCCATTTAAGAAAAATGACTATTATTCTAAAAACAAGCAAAAAGGCCATCCACCCACATCTTAGGCAGCAAATTTTATAGCTTCCTTGGGAATAAAGCTCTAGTGGTTTAATAACTAGAGGGTTCTCACCTGCCTTCCAGAGTCCTTAACTGACTCTTCTTCAATTTCTTTTTCACTGCCCAAAGAAATCCATGGTTTAGAGATAGGGGGTTGGTAAACATATAGATCTTCAGGGGAAAGTTCTTTATATTCATCCAGTTCTTCTGATGCATCTGGAGGCTACAGTAAAATAAATGGCATCCTTAAATATATGCCTAAATTTAAGTATATAACCACATGTATACATCTCCCAATAAATTTTACTTCTTATAAGTTCATGAAATAGTTCCTACTTGTCTTGTTGGTTTATGCTTTTGAATTATGGAAAGTAATAAAAAGAGATGAAATAATGAATATAAAAGGCACATCAAGAATATAGAAAGAAGAGAAAAAGAAAACAATGCATAATGAGAAAAAAGCATTGACTACATATCTTTATGCATATAGACTGCTAAATTTGATGAGAAAATACCATTTTCTTTTATTTAATTCATGGTTCTTTGATAGGTATAAATATGAATAAATATGATGTCTCTTAAATACTAGGTATAGTTTTTTAAAAAAAACTAAGATGTTCACTGCTGCTTTATTAGGAACACTGAAAAAATGAACAACTAAGTGCACACCATTAGGAAAATGGACAGGTGACAGTGTAATATAGTTATAAAACAAAATCCATTAAGCAACTATAACGAACAAACTCAATCTATGATATCTAATATATCTATAGTTATAGATCTTAGAATTTTATAATTTAAGAAAAAAATTAAAGTTGTGGAATTAATTAATTAATTATATAATTGATTTTTGTTGGTTGTGGGGCTTGCACTCTGGGCCTGGGCACTATCCCTCAGCTCTTCAGCTCAAGGCGAGTGCTCTGCCACTTGAGCCACAGTGCCACTTCCAGTTTTCTGAGTGTTTTTTTATTGGAGATAAGATTCTCACAGAGTTTCTGCCCAGGCTGGCTTTGAACTGTGATCCTCAGATCTCAGCCTCCTGAGTAGTTAGGATTACAGGTGTGAGCCACTGATGGCCAGCTTTGGAATGACTTTATAAGCGATGTAATTATTTAAATTTTAAATGAATAAAATAACATTGTGAAGCATATATGTATAAAATATAAAATCACAAACAGGAAAATTATATAAAACCATACAATAATAGTTCCTTATAGAGAAAAGTGAAGAAAATCAAATTAGGGAGGACATTAAAAATGAGTTTTTCATAACTGATTATTTTTTTCTTGGTGCTGTTCCTGGAAATTGAACTCAGTGCCTGGGCACTGTCCCTGAGCTTCTGTGCTCAAGGCTAGGGCTCTACTATTTGAAGCACAGTACCATTTGTGGCCTTTTGGTAACTGTAGATGGACTTTTCCTGCGCAGGCTGGCTTTGAACTGCAAGCCTGAGATCTCAGTCTTCTGAGTAGCTAGGGATTACAGGTGCAAAACATTGACACCAGCTTATATTTTATTTTATTTTTAAAAAATGTTTAGAAGTTCTCAGTTTTGTTGTATGTATCTGCAATCCTAGGACTTGGGAGGTTGAGGCAGATGCTCATGAGCTCAAGGACAACTTAAACTGAAAGGTTAAAGCTTGAGGCAGTGACCACCACGTGTTGCTTGTTTCTGTCTAGCAAAGCAACACGTGGTGGTAATCAAAACACTTGGTTGATTGTGTGCCTATATAAGACCTGCAAATCCTTAGCTCAGGGCTCTCCTCCTGGGCTCCGCTGTGTCGGAGTATAGGATGAGGCCCGAGCTGCAGCCCGTTTAAATAAAACAGCTGTAGAGTCTGACTCTTGGTGGTCTTCTTGTGGGGGTTCCTGCGACCTTGGCATTACAGAACCACACAGAGAAACTGTCAAAAATGTTTTAAATATGATAAATTATTCATTTTGGGTGGTGATTGTGTACATATTTGTTATACAACTCTGCACTTTTCTATGCATTTAAAATATTTTACAATAATAAAAACCAAAAGAGACTGAAACTGAAATCAAAACTGAAAGACACTGTTCATAAAGAAATGTACTCACCCCTCTGTATATCACCTTTACAATAAAAATAAGTAAAAACTGAAAACAGAAAGAAGGTTATTTTTATTATAAATAAAATTGTTTGGGTGCTGTTGGCTCACACCTATAATCCTTGCTATTCAGGAGTTTGAGATCTGAGTATTGCGGTTTGAAGCCAACCAAGGCAAGAAAGTCCATGAGATTCTTTTTTTTTTTTTGTCGGTCGTGGGGTTTGAACTCTGGGCCTGGGCGCTGTCCCTCAGCTCTCCAGCTCAAGGCGAGCGCTCTACCACTTGAGCTACAGCGCCACTTCCGGTTTTCTGGTGGTTTATTGGAGATAGGAGTCTCACGGTCTTTCCTGCCCGGGCTGGCTTTGAACCGCGATCCTCAGATCTCAGCCTCCTGAGTAGCTAGGATTACAGGCGTGAGCCACCAGCGCCAGGCTGTCCATGAGATTCTTATTTCCAATAAATTACTCAGAAAAAACTGGAAGTGGTGCTGTAGCTAAGTGGCAGAGCACTAGCCTTGAGCACAGAGTCTCAGAGACAGCACCCAAGTTCTGAGTTCAAGCTCCAGAACCAGCAAAAAACAAAAATCAAACCAAACCAAAACAAAAAACACAAATAAAGCTGAAGCCAGGTGCTGGTGGTTCACACATACAATTGAAATTGTATCCACTTGAAATAACTAAAACATAAATAGAGCTAAGGACATGGCTCAATTGATAAAACTGTATCTCCCTAGCAAGCACAAGACTCTAAAAACCAGGTTGAAAATATTCAGGTAAAATGAAAGGTTATTTCTGATTAGAAATTGTTAAGGGGGAGGAGGGTATTGAGATGAGAGCAAAATGAACAGTAATAGTGTGAACATGATAAAAGATGCATATATGCATATATGGAATTTCACAATAGAACCTCTCACTTTGTAAAGTTAATAGACAATAATAAAAAAATTGAAAACTGTTAACTATTTTAAAATTCTATGGTTTTCTTTTTTTTCTTTTGAATTTTATTGTACAGAGGGTAGCGGTAACATAAGTCAGTTAATGAGTACATTTTTTTTGAACAGTGTTACCCTCTCCTTTTGTGTTTTTCTTGCTTATTGGAGAAATATTGCTCCTTCAAATGACATGGCCATACCTCCCAAGAAATCATTTTCCTCGGTTAACCAATGAGGTTGCAAGAGAGGTGAATCTTGGTCATAAACCAGTTACCTTTTTCATTCAACCTCAAACAAAGAGCTTTACCTGAATTAGCCCATTTCATCCTCACAATGGCCCTGGAAATAGGCACTATTGGTACCACCATTCAACTTAACCCAAAGTCAGTGAGCTGGTTAGAAGAGTAAAGGAAGGCATGCCTTTTGCAGGGGAGGCGGGGAGGGAGTACTCCTGGAGAACAGAGGTGGTTCTATTTGTTGTTTCCGCACTTACTGGGTCAATGAAGGGCAAATGATTAGAATATTTGCCACTCTGTGCTTGATTTAGTTCACTGCTCACTTATTCTTAGGTGCCTGAATATGACCCAGGCCCCAGGGAGGCAGAGTTGGACAGGAATTATCATGCTATGTATAAGAATTGCCCAGAGTTATCATTTCCTTCCAACAACCAACACTTGTGAGGGCTTGGGATTTGCTTACATTTAAATAGATTTCCTTGCCCTCTTCAGTCCCAATAATATAAAAGTTAAGTCCATACTTGTAGTCCTTGTCATAAACAAGTACAATTTCATCTCCAGGATATTCCTGTGGGAATACAATTAGAAGAGAAGGTTACTGCTCAATGGTCATTCAGTTTATTCAGCTGCTACCAAAAAATTGGGTATTTCATCTGATCATAAAAGATCACTATGGTGTTAATTTATGGTTGCTAATTCCAAACTGCAAAAGCATTTGCTTTACTAAAAAGCTCTTTATAAACACAGTGGATTCAAGGAAATTCATCATGCAATTTTATTTCTAACAGGAAGAGGGAAACTACTTTTTATTTGGTGGTGTGCTCTGTGCTATGTTTGGAGACAAATAAGGACCAAAGTTAGGGACTAAACAAAGCAGTACGTGAAAATTAGGTAGGTCCTTGTTTTAGTGGAAAGTGGACAAGGATGAGATTTTCTGAGCGTAGGGTAAGGCTAGTCAGTGTTGAAACTTTGCTTTAAACAGAAAATCATCAAATAGGATTCTAGAGAGGGCTAGGCTATTTGCTTTAAGTATGAGGAATGCTAGCTTGGAATAAACAGCAGCAACAACAACAAAACACAACTTTGCAACCTGAGTAGTACATTCCAGGACCTTCTTGAGCAAAACTATAAAGAGAACGTATTGTACTGACCCTGATAATTTTTTTGACTGGGTAAAAATCTGATACGGCTGCTCTGTTGCGCAAGTCCTCCAGAATAGTTTCCTTTTTGATAAGCTTATAGGGTTCCTCATCTGTGACATCTTCATCTATTCGGCAGTTGAATATTTCCTGGGTCTTGGTAGTTAATACTAGTGGATAAATTTCTGGGTGGCCTAAGAAAGACAAAGCAGCACTTGGACATTAAATATAAGCACTTAAATATTAACACTAGGAAATAACAATTGCTGCCTTATGATAGTTCTCTTGGTTTTAAACCAAGAGACCAAATACTTTAAATTTATTTTTCTTATATTTGAAGCAAATATAACTACTACAACAGAAAAACCTTGAACAGAATGAAAAAGGAGAAGAACCACAATTGCCCACAATGCCCTTTCAAAGAGAACTTACATTAGTATTTATTTTCTTTTAGCCACTCCATGTACATGTTATAAGAAATTCTAAATCTTGCATTTAGGATTTACTGTTATATCCCAAATACTTCATTATGATCTTAACAGACTTACCAGAATATCATTATACATTAATCTATATGATATGTGTGTGTGTGTGTGTGTGTGTGTGTGTATGTATGTATGTGTGTGTTTTGTGTGTATGCATGCTAGTACTACGGCTTGATCAAAGGGACTGGGTATTGTCCCTGAGCTTACTGACTCAAGGCTGGCACTCTATTTACAGTTTCTTTCTCCCTCTTTCCCCAGTCCTGGGGCTTGAACTCAGAGCCTGGGCACTGTCCTTGAGCCTCTTTGTGCTCAAGTCTAGAAACTCTACCACTTGAGCCACAGTACCACTTCTGGCTTTTTTCTTTGTAAGAGTCTCATGGACTTTTCTGCTTGGGCTGGCTTTGAATTGTGATCCTTAGATCTCAGCCTCCCAAGTAGCTAGGATTACAGGCATGAACCACTAGTGCCCAGCTTATTGCTAGCCTTTTAATGGTTAATTCGAGATAAGAGTCTCATGGACTTTCCTGCTCAGACTGGTTTCCAGCCATGATCTTCATATCTCAGCCTCCTGAGTAACAGAGGCTTACAAGTGTGAGCCATCAGCACCTTGCTTAATAATAAGTAATATATCATCATATGATCAAGTTATAATGGGATTAATAAACCTCATTATTAGTTTAACTGTAGCGTAATTTTAAACCATTCTTACGTTGGCACTCATTCTAATTTAAAAATTATTTCTGGGGCTGGGAAGGTGGCTCAATGGTAGAGTGCTTGCCTCGTGTGCATGAGGCCCTGGGTTCGAGTCCTCAGTACCACATAAGCAGAAAAAGCCGGAAGTGCTGACAGGCTAGAGTAATGAAGCTGTGGTGATTTGAAATGAGATGGGTTTGTTGGAACCTGGAACAGAGAGGGATGTTAGTTGCTCCAAGAGAGTGAGAGATTGAATCAAAATGGGCATGGCTTCAGGCCCTCCTGATGCTATCCTAGGTCAGGAGTATCTGTCAGATATGTCACATATCTGCTAGATATGTGTGCAAATAAACCTTTATCTCTATTGATTATCGCTAGTATTTGTTATAATGACAGATAGGTAACCAACACAACTGCACTTTCACTTCAGAATTATCAATATTATGAAAGAAGAAAATTTCCTGGGGTGGGATTGGAGTCTATCTCTCAATGACAGGAAAGGAGTTCCACAAAGACCAGAGAGCTGAGATTTGAATAAAGATCAGAGATCTATTTCCTTATACCATATGAACAGAAGACAAAATTCTAGCCCAGCACCTGTAGCTCATGCCTGTAACCTTAACTACTCAAGAGGCTGATATCTGGGGATTATGATTCAAAGCCAGCCCGGGCAGGAAAGTCCACGAGACACTTATTTCCAGTTAATCACAAAAAACTGGAAATAGTGCTATGGTTAATGTGGCAGAGTATTAGCTTTGAGGAAAAAACTCTAAGGAACAGCTTCCAGACCTGAGTTCAAGCCCCAAGACCAATACAAAGAGACAGACAGGCAGACAGACAGACAGACAGACAGACAGACAGACACACACACACACACACACACACACACACACACACACACTAAAATCTTCATGTAAGTGAACTGGAAGAAAGATTTTCTCCCCATTCCTAAGAAATGACTTGTTGGAATAAGATTGTTTAGCGTTTAAAAGAAAGAACAGCATTGCTTTGGTTGTCGATGTTCTATTTATTTTCTTGAAAATGAATCCCTTTCCATGAAAGAGTAGAATCTGAACATGAAGCACAGGCTAAATATTGCCAATGAGCCAAAGTTTGAAAAGTACTATTCTGATAAAAGTAATAACTTTCCAGTTACAAAAGACCTGTCAATAAATACAATAGTTGTTTAGGGTACTGCTTGAGTCAAGTCTGTTTCTCAGTTTGAAATTCTCTTTTCCATTCTTATTTTATATTCACTACTTAAAATTTTTCATTCCATATTCTAAATCATGTGGTATAATTTTACACCTTGTAAATTTTGATACGTATCATAGACAAAGTCTGTATATTTCTACTTACCCATGCTCTCCATATTTATTGGTTCCTCTTCTTCCGCAACTAGAATGTAATAAAATGATATCAAATTTACATTTTAGAGTCAAATAATCTCAATTGACTAGTCTTTTACCAGACAATTTATAAATACAAATACACAATGAGGACTTAAGCTAGCCTTGAGTAATTAAAAAGTGAAAAATCTGAAATGTTGTCTTTCTCACAGTCATCCTTTCTGGTATATTCGTTCCGGCATTCATTACTTGGCATTTGATACTGTAATCAGGCAAGTAAACAAGTGAATTCCCACATATTTAATTTTGAATGGGCTGGACCTTATGACAGCAAAACTATTATGTCCAAGAAATAAATCCAAGCTTCATTTTCAATGAAAATAATCATACCAAGAAATCCTTTTTTGCCATGAGCTCCCTTTTTTGCTTCACGTTTGACCTTTTTTGGTGATTTTGGTTGCTTTGATGGTTTTGGTGATGGTTTTGGACCCATGGTTCTGACGTAGGCTGCAGAAAGAAATATCATTGATTAGTAAATCCTAGTTTGCATTTGCAAATAGGTCAGGCATTATCATTTATTGAACATAGCAATATGTTTCTAGATTTTGCCCTGGATTAAATCGACATGTGATTTTAGTACAAATGAGGGTTTTGTGACCAAAAGTTTATGGCAACAACTGATAAAATCTTGTTCCAGTGGAACCATTCAGCTGCAGCACAAGATAGTAACCTGCCAGAACTTCAAAGTTTCCGTACAGGCCCTATTATGGAAGTGCGGCAGAGAAGCTGCTCTCCCGACCCGCGCCAGAGTGGCCTTATGCAGTTCTCCCCAACAGGTGCTCCAACAACATGCGTATATGTACATAGTTTTAAATAGACATAATAATAATTTAGACCCTAAATTCTGTTTTAACATGTGAGCATGTAGTCGCTAAATTGTCAGATGAAGCTCCGATAGAGTTGCTTTATTTTGGCAGGATGTAACATTGGCCATGTCACCACCATAACAGTGTGACCATGACAGCAAATCTTTATTTTGTCACAATATTTACCTCTGTCCCATTCCATCAAGAGAGTAAAAATACAATTTGAGAAATCAAGGCAGCAAGGTTTAAAAAGAGTTGTGTGTGTGTGTGTGTGTGTGTGTGTGTGTGTGTGTATGTGCAAGAGATAGGTATGGGCTTGAACCCAGGTCCTGGGAATTTTCCTTTTTCATTCAAGACTGGCACTCTACCACTTGAGCCACAGCTACACTTAGGGCTTTTTGGTGGTTAATTGGAGGTAAGTGTTTCAGGAACCTTTCTGCCCCAGCTGGCTTTAAACTGTTATCCTTAGATCTCAATCTCCTGAGTAGCTACGATTACAGGCCCAATCCACTGGCAGTAGGCCAGTGGGTTTTTTGTTTGTTTGTTTGTTTTTGTTTTTTAACCAGTGAGTGACTTTACCTTCTCAGTCCCAGAAAGGGGTTTCGTGGGGTTAATAATAAAGTCTATTCCACAAGATGATCATGAAGTCTTAATAAGATTAATAAATATTTAAAAAAATTTAAGCTGAGATTGATTACATACATTTCACAAAATGCACAGTATTGTGGGATAGTGATACTTAGTGAAAGTCACACACACTTTTTAACCTTCACGAGGTGCATTGTCATTATCGTGGCCTATAAGGCTTATGGCCTTTACAAACTTTGACATTACAATTATTTCTTCCAAATCCGGTGAATGTACATTTCTTTCCTTTTGCTTAGTGTTAGCTGTTCTTCCTTTCCCTCTCATTCCTCCTTCCCATCGCTGCCCTTGAGTTGCTTAGTTCACTTTCATCAATGTCCAATGTGGCTGATGGACCCCTCTGCTGTATTTTTTCCTGTTTCCCTCTGATTCTGTGCCATTTTCCTATTTTCCCTCATGTACACATGTATATAACATATATGAGGTCAAGGACATAGGTCATCTAGAAATGATATGAAACATTAAGAAGAGATCCTTTTTTTGAGTTCTGTTTACTTTGTCATATCTCCTTGAATTTAGAGTTTAACATGCACATATCAGAGAGACCATGTGCTCTTTGTTGCTCTGATCTTGGCTTACCTCACTCAACATGATTTGTTCTAGTTCCATCCATTTCCTTTCCCCATGAATGCCATTATTTTGTCCTTTCTAATGGCTCTGTAGTATTCTATTGTATATTAGTACCACAATTTTTGGATCCATTCATCTGTAGTGGGGCATCTGGTTGTTTCCATATTTTGGCGATTGTGAACAGTGCAGCGATGAACACAGAGGTGCATATGTCTTTATATCCTGGCTCCTGTTGCTCAGGGTAGATGTCTAGGAGTGGCATGGCTGGGTCACAGGGAAGGTTTATGTTTAGCTTTCTGAGGATGGACTGCTTTCCAGAGTGGTTGTACTAGTGTACATTCTCATCAGTAGTGCAATAGGGTTCCTCTTTCTCCGCATCCCCGCCAATATTTGTCGTTGGCTGAGTTTAGGATGTGGGACATTCTGACTGGGGTAAGGTGGTATCTCAGTGTTTTTTCTTTCTTTCTTTTCTTTTTTTTTTTCTTTTTTGCTGGTTGTGGGGCTTGAACTCTGGACCTGGGTTCCGTCCCTGAACTCTAGCTCAAGGCGAGTGCTCTACCACTTAAGCCACAGCGCCACTTCCAGTTTTCTGGTGGTTAATTGGTGGTAAGAGTCTCATGGATTTTCCTGCCTGGGCTGGCTTTGAGCCGTGATCCTCAGATCTCAGTAGATAGGATTACAGGCATGAGCCACTGGTGCCCAGCTATCAGTTTTTATTTATATTTTCTTTACGGCCAGGGATGATGAACATTTCCTCTTGTGTTCTTTGCTATTTTTATCTTTTCTTCTGAGAAGCCTCTCTTTAGTCCCCTTGTCCATTTAATGATTGTTTTATTAGACTTGGGAGGAATTATTTTCTTGAGTTCCCTGTATATACTGGATATTAGGCCTTTGTCTGATATATTGATGGTAAATATCTTTTCTCAATTGGTTGGCTGTCTGTCTAGTTTGGAAGCTATGTCTTTAGCTGTGCAGAAACTTTTTATTTTAAGGTAGTCCCATTGGTCAAGTCTCTCTCCAATTTGTTATGACCCTGGGTCTCTGTTTAGGAAGTTCCTGCCTGAGCCTCTTAAGTTGTCATGTCTCTCCTACTCTGTCCTGCAGTAGTTTTAGAGTTTCGGGTTTGATGTTGAGGTCTTTAATTCATTTCAAGTTGATGTTAGTGCATGGAGACAGGCTGGGGTCCACTTTTAGTTTTCTGAATGTGGCTGCCCAGTTTTCCCAGGACCAATAGTTGAAGAGGCTGTGTTTCTTCCATTGTATGTCTTTCGTTCCATTGTCAAATATCAGCTGACTATAAGTATGTGATTTTCTTTCTGGATCTTCTAATCTATTCCACTGGTCTTTGGGTCTATTTTTATGCCAAGTGCAAGCTGTTTTTGTTATTATGGCTCTATAGAAGAGCTTGAAATCTGGTATCATCATCCCTCCTGCATTGTTTCTTTTGCCTAGAATTTCTTTGGCTATTTTAGGTCTTTTGTTGTTCCATAAAAATGTTTGGATTGTTTTCTGTATTTCAATAAAGAACGTCATTGGGATTTTGATGAGAATTTGTATATCATTTTTATATATAAATTTGTATCTCATTTTGTAAGGCCATTTTTACAATATTGATTCTGCCTATCCAAGAACATGGAAGGTCTTTCTATTTCCTGGTGTCCTCTGATCTCTTTCTTTAGGCTTTTATAGTTTTCACTAAATAGTTCCTTTACATCTTTGGTTAGGTTAATCCCTAGATATTTTATTCTTTTGAGGTTATTGTGAATGGGGTTGGTTCCCTGATTTCCCTTTCTGCCTGTACATTGTTGGTATTCAGAAAGGCAACTGATTTTTGTGGGTTAATTTTGTATCCCACTACTTTGCTGAAGTTGTATATAAGTTCTAGGAGTTTGGGAATGGAGTTTTGGGGGTAATTTAAGTATAATATCATGTCATCTGCAAATAGGGGTAGTTTAATTTCTTCCTACCCTATGTGTATTCCTTTAATGTCCTTTTTTGCCTTATTGGTCTGGCTAAGGATTCCAGAATTATATTGAAGAGGAGTGGAGAGAATGGGCATCCTTGTCTTATTCCTGATTTTAGAATTGGTTGTAGTTTTTCACCATTTAGTATAATATTGGCTATTAGTCTGTCATATATGGCTTTTATTGTTTTAAAGAATGTTCCTTCCAGAGCTTTTAACATGAATGGGTGTTGTATTTTATCAAAAGCCTTTTCTGCATCAATGGAAATAATCATGTGATTCTTGACCTTGGATCTCTTGATGTATTATATTAATTGATTTGTGTATATTAAACCAGCCCTGTATCTCTGGGATGAAGCCTACTTGATCATAATATATGATTAATGAGACTAATAAACATTTTATTAACATCAGTTCTGACATCTCATGCTGATGTCTCTCATTTTAATAAAATCAACCCAAACGGAATACTATTTCATAGGCTATGGTCAGACCATCTAGAGTTTTAGTTTTTCCTGAGTCCCTTGATTGCAGAATCTTGACTAAAAAGTACGTGGAGGTCTGTGTGTTCGCCTAGAAATATTTTCCTCTTCAGATTTTTAAACTTTTTTTTTTTCAAATGGTAATGATAGCTCACTGTTGTGAAGTGCTTACTATATGCTGGACATAGTTCATAGAACCTTAACCACACTTTATTGTCACTGTTTTCATCATCCCTCACTTTATGAGTAGATAAAAGAGGCCTTGAGAGATGAGGTAACTTTGCATAGTGCAGTGGGCAGTGGGCCAGGCTGTGAGCGCTCAGTGTTCCTCCAGGGCTGCACAATCAGCCTCTGTGGACTGTCCCCCAGATTCAACAGCAGCTACTGTGTGTCACTGGGAGTGAAGTGACTTTAATTGTCTGGAAAGGCATGCATCATTTTTTTTTACTCAAAGTTTTGTGATTCTGATGCTATAAAAATGTCTACTTTCTTCAATAACTTAGTCACAATTTTTGAGACTAAGTTGTCTCTAACCCACTTCCTAGACTTAGTATAATTTCAAATCTTGTGCCTCGTCATTTTTTTTAAGAAAGATTCCTTATCAGTGTATCCTTCTTTACTTTTGGATCCCTCTGCATCTGGCTTACAATACTCAAAAACACTGACACAACCCAGTCTTCACACACACACACACACACACACACACACACACACACACACACACCACTGCTTATTGCACATATACTTACTGAGTGAAGGATGGACCAGATGCTATCCTGGGTGTTAGCAATAGAGCAAAAAAAATATGAATTTTTTAAAAGTTGCTCTGAGAAAGCTTATATTGTAGGAGTGGGAAATGATGAACAAAATAAAAAGAAGTAG